TCTCTTGCTATGTTGTCATGGTTTGCATTTTTTCCTGTTCTCCAAATTGCACCTCAGTTAATCACTCTCTTGCTAGCAGCCCCTCTATACTTCCCCTGGCCTCTTACGACATCCTCCCTGCTTATGAAGCTCTGGAGTCATGATTTGTTTCTTTTATGATTTAATTTTTGTTTACTTTTCTGTTTTAATTGTGATAAAATACACATTCTTTTTCTCTAAGCCGGGGCTGGTAAGCACTGGGCTGTGTAAATGTCTCCACAGTGCCCTGCTCTGAGGCAGCGCTCCTTGATCCTCTTTTATCATTCTCCCCAAGTGTCTTTGCCTTCTCCGTTCTCGACTGTTGTGCTGGGCATATGGAATTGTTTCTCCTGTCACAGAGTTCACAGAGGCTGACTGTGGATCTCTTTTTGGGGATGTGACTCTTCTCAGTCTTTACCTTCAGTTCTCAGGCCCAGAGGAAAAGTGGCTTAGTCATGATCATCCTCCTTGGAGTTCTTGTGATCTCTCTCAATCACTCTGAGATAATGTCCTTGTGTTTTCCCTCAGCTCTGCCTCCACACCCACATTTTATCTTTCTTTATTTTTCCTTTCCCATAGCAATGCATGCTTAAGTTGCTTCCACCTTAAACATAGACTAACAAAAACAAAAGGATTTAACTTTCTACTGAAACTGTGTGTGTGTGTGGGGGGGCGTGTACACATATACACACATATACATACATACATACACATATATACACATACATATAACACTGATCCTGCATTTTTCCTTACAAACAGCCATGTACCTTGAAAGAACAGTGTGCAGCCCTTTCCTTCAGTTGCACCTTGCTTCCTTGGGAGACTGGAATAGCACTTGCATTCCCATCTTTCCACTGAAAGCACAGCTTAAAAGTCCCTGGTTTTTTAGTTGCCAGATGCAGGGAGTGGGAGGAGATTTCCAGTCCTGTTTTTACTTGACCTTTCTAATACATTAACTGTCAGTCCCTTTCCTTATGAAACCTTATAGTTGGTTCCAGGCATGCTACTCTCCTGATTTCTTGCTTGCTCATCTCTTCTTTCTTAATCTCCTGTGCTGCCTTTTTTCCCTCTGTCCACTTTTAGAAACTGATACTGTGTGACTCTTGTCTCCCTTTGAATGGTTTCAGCCACTGTGTGATTTAAATTACAATTTAGTAATCTTAATCATCTATCTCCATCCTTCCTTTGAGCACAAGACTCACTACCATAGTCCTTATGACAGTCTTATAAAATCAGGGTGTCTACATTGTAGGTAAGGAGACTGAGACCAGGCAAAGTAACCTGCTTCTGCTCTAATAATCAATAAAAGAGCTAAAATTTAAGCATTCATCTGAACATGAAACTATAATCTCTATATAATGCTGTTAATTAAATAGTTCTAACCAGCTGACAAGCGTATTAAATATATCATAGTTCATATGCTGTGCTTACCTTATTGCCATTGCTTTCTCTCATGAGTGGGGGGTGGTGACACAAAGGTTAGGGAGAGAGATGAAGAAACTACAGAGACAGACTGAAAACCTATATTCTCAATCTTAGGGTCTGATTTTCCTTCTTTCAGTTTTCCCAGCTGAAGTATATCCGAAGGACTTGATAGATGCAGATTTCCCTCTGTGTTGCTACCCAACTGGTTCATCCAACCCAAAGGAGCATCATTATGTGCTTCCTACCTGTCATGTGATTGCCCTCCCCCACCCCATCATAGTCTAGGACTTCTTCCTCTGAACTACCATGGCCCAGACCCATTGCTTTCAGATTATCTGACCCGAACAACCAGGGTGTCTTGTTTTTTTATTTAGATTTTTGTTGAAACATTTAATCCACTGCTGATTATATAAAAAAGAATTATTAGAAAATTTTTAAAAGATATGCAAAAATAAGTCTCATTTTAAATAGCATTGAATTCAACAGACATGAAATTACTCTGTCAGATTGTAATAAAAGGTTTTAGAAGCTAGTTTTCTATGACTGTCCTGTCACAGATAGATAATAAACAGTTTGCAGTTTAGATCTGGTCCATAAACGTTGAGTCTAGGCACAGCATCAGAGGGATAGAAATATCTTCAGTTTTCTTAGATTACAGCCACATGGATCCATGTTATTTAGAAGTTAAATTTCAACTAGGAATTTGTTGATTTACAGACAGCGTCTATGTGTAGCTTTAGGAAGCTTCAGAAAACACTGCTTCTGGGCTGGAGAGATGGTTCAGCTTTTAAAGGCCAGGCTCACAGCCAATAAATACATCAAGAAAATATGCTACTAGTTGTTTGCTTGTTTTATTTTTCAAATGTGAAAGCTTTATAATATGAATTGTTACATATCAAGCTACTTATGCATGCTAAGCAAGAAAACACATTTGTACTCCAGTTAAATTACACCTTTACTGTTTATATATGTACATGTGAAACTTTACTTTCTTTCTTTTTGGAAAGGGAAGGGGAAAATGCTATATATTATACTGTATATATAATGTATATTATATATTATAATATTATACTGTTTCTTAGAAGGAATAAGTCTAATTACAGTATAGAATAACCTTACAATTATGCTAAAATTAAAGTATATTGACTTAAGAATCAAGACAACATAAAAAAAAAACAGATTGAAAGTGCTATCTTTGATTGGCCTGTAATAATAATGGGTTTCCCCAGGTTGGTATTTAAATGAAAAGAATTGTATACATCAGAACTGTGTGCTTGTAATACTCAGTAAAATATGGCAGATTGTTTGGTTTGCTTTACTACTAGAAGAGTAAAGTTCTATGTAAATATTAATCTGATGAGGTGTTTAATAATAAAAATAAGTTATCTGCATTTTGACAGATTATTGACTGGCCAATTCTCAGATTTGATGAGGATAGGACATATTAAATGCTCAACTGTTAAATATTCCTTGGCTTTAAACAAGTCATTGCTAAGCAGTTGTGTTGGATAATTTTTATGTCAACTTGACACAAGGTATGGTCATCTGGGAAGAAGGATTTTTTAAAATAAATATAGTTAAATAAACAAACAAACAAACAAATAAATAAAGGAAAGAAACTGTGTTTCTCTGTAGGCCTGACTGTCCTGGAACTCCCTCTGTAGACCAGGCTGGCCTCAAACTTAGAGAACCACCTGCCTCTGCCTTCACTACCCCAACCTTTGGCTGGGAAGAAGGGCTCTTAATCAAGAAAGTGCCTCCATAGGATTAGCCTACAGAAACTCTAACTAAAAACAGTCAGACTCAAAAAGTTCTGATGGATCCTAGTTGATGAATGGGAATGCTCTAATATTAAGCTGATTCTCTACCCAGTGATAGTTAAGTTAAACATTTACTGAATAAACAATGCTCATGGTTGTCTGCTTCTGGCTTAGGGTAAGATGCTTAAGGAGCGTAATTTCATCTCACAGGAGATCTCATTACAGATGGCTGTGAGCCACTATGTGGTTGCTGGGAATTGAACTCAGGACCTCTGGAAGAGCAGCTAGTGCTCTTAACCTCTGAGCCACCTCTCCAGCCCCGAATAATATTTTTAATAATTTCATTGTCAGATACCAAATTTTTAAAAGCTCTTCCATTTCACTAAATTAACATGGGTCAGAAGATGCAGTATATTGAGATTAAAATTTGAAATAATTTTTTTTAGAATGTGGGTTCAAATATCAATTATACAAGTAAATATATGACTTTGAAATTAAATTAATCCACTTCTGTTTGTTTTTTTTAATGTCTTAATTTTTGCTACTTTATAGAACTGTTGTGAAGATTAGAAATGTTAATTGTAAAGTTCCTTGTGAGAACAAGTTAAAGATGATTTCAGTTTGTTAAAAATCTTGAAATCCCTTATAAGATGTGATTTTTTAAAAATACAAAATATTGAATGTCCCAAATCTAAGTTATTGATAGATAATCTTTGCTTCTTGAGACCTTTCTCCTCAGTGATTCTTGGCAAATGGGGTAAATGTAGCTTAGAAAAGCTCCCACCGCTTCAAGATATGCTGGCACTCATGGTGTTTGTTCTGTTTTTAAGGATGGGAAATGTTGTACTTGTGAAAGTTACAGAAGGGTGAAAAAACAGGTGTTTGAACTGTAGTTTGATCTGTTTTCTAATTTTTTTGTCCAGGTTACTATTTCTTGCTTACCAAAGTTTCATAAGTAATCTTCTTTCAATTTACTATGGTGCAGAAACATTCTTTACCTGAGGGAAACAATAACCCATTCTCTTGATGAGCCACCTTTTAAGCCTAGAAGCAGGTAAACCCATTTGTAATTTGCCCAAGGGAGAATGGGACGTAGAAAGGAGACCCACATAGGCCTTATGTTTGCAGTATTTGGCCAAAAAAATCTGAGCTTCAAGTGTCCAGACCCCAGAAGAAAGGCATTGACAGCAGTCCTTTTGACCCCACTTAGGGACAGACACAGGCAAAGATGACTAGAGTGACATCCTCTAAAGTCAAGCCTGGAACCCAGGGTGTTGGGTAGGACTGTATAAAGAAAGTGGTATAAAACCACAGCTGTTTTAAAAAAAAATATAATTATACTTTCATTATTAAAAGAAAACAAATTCAAATAAAATAAATATCACACACCAAAATTAGCCAGGCCTCAAATCTATATACATTTCAGTAAGCTTCTATACAGGCACAATAGCCATTCTTTTTCACTATCAGAATATTTTTGTGCACTTAGTGACCACTAACAATGAAAAAAATCTGTGACAGAAAAACAATTAGCTTTATACCATCTTTCTTTAATATTAGCCTATTTACTAGTTTTTTTTTTTTGGTTGATGACTATAGTATGCTTTTTTATACATTCTTGAGTTTTTAATGAACAACTCAAGAATGCCATAAAGCCTCTATTTAATTCATATAGTGTTAAGGTGGAAATAAATCTTAGTGATTTAAAAAACCCACTAAATTTGGTGTTTCCAAGAAACATTGTATTATGAGCTCTCCCCCACCTCTCTCTTATCATATGTCTTAATTTTGTAGATCGACTTCAGCTTCCAAGGAATATGATTGAAAACAGCATGTTTGAAGAAGAACCAGACGTGGTAGATTTAGCCAAAGAACCTTGTTTACACCCTCTGGAACCCGATGAAGTGGAATATGAGCCCCGGGGTTCGAGGCTACTGGTGCGAGGTCTTGGTGAGCATGAGATGGACGAGGACGAAGAGGATTATGAGTCATCTGCAAAGCTGCTGGGCATGTCCTTCATGAACAGAAGCTCAGGCCTTCGAAACAGTGCAACAGGCTACAGGCAGAGTCCAGATGGGACTTGTTCAGTACCCTCTGCCAGGACCTTAGTGGTCTGTGTTTTTGTCATCGTGGTTGCTGTCTCTGTGATTATGGTGATTTATCTACTGCCTAGATGTACCTTTACCAAAGAAGGCTGCCACAAAAAAAACCAGTCAACAGGACTAATTCAGCCAATTGCCACAAATGGGAAATTGTTTCCATGGGCACAAATTAGGCTTCCCACTGCCATTATGCCTCAGCGCTATGAACTTAGCCTACACCCAAACCTAACCTCAATGACATTCAGGGGCTCTGTGACAATTTCACTTCAGGCTCTTCAAGCCACGTGGAATATCATTCTCCATAGCACAGGACACAATATTTCAAGAGTGACATTTATGTCAGCAGTTTCAAGTCAAGAAAAACAAGTTGAAATCCTGGAATATCCATATCATGAACAAATCGCCATTGTTGCCCCTGAAGCCCTTCTAACAGGACACAATTATACTTTGAAGATAGAGTATTCGGCAAATATATCTAACTCTTATTATGGGTTTTATGGCATCTCCTACACAGATAAAAGTAATGAGAAAAAGTATGTAAACCTCCTAAATGGTTCTTGTTCTGTGCTCTTCTGCATGTAACTTCCTCGGTGCAGATCCTTTTGCTCACACCATAGATGTTTTTACATGTTTTTAAATTTGGGAAGCTATGTGCAAAATAGAATGGTTCTATGGAAGAATATACTATTGTCTTAGGCATAACTTGGAGTGAGTATTGTGGTGGAAGAAAATAGGAGTGTATAGTGGAAGGGGATGAAAGAAGATTTATTCTCTATCACAAACTAACAAATTTTCCTTGAGCTTTTCATGTTTTATGGGATGAATAGTGTCATCCTTTCCTGAAGTTGTAAGCGGCAGAGTGAGTGGTATGGGCTATCCTGCTGGCAGGCAGAAGTTTTAGGAGGTACTTAATGAGTTGGAGAAAGATGGTGTGAAATGTGGCGTACTTACATATATCATTCTTAGTACCCTTATTCTTCACTGGTTTCCTTTTTAAAATGCCAGTTTGACTATGAAATCTTTAAAAGTGTAGGAAAGAATCACATCTAAAAAAAAAAAAAAGTAATACAGAATATAAGGGTGTTCCACAGCCTCTTTGGATCATACTTTGCTGTTTAATCTTCATAGTCATATGATACATGGGTTTTATGAAAAATGTAGGGTACATTACTATGGAATATTCATAAATAATGGTAATGTCATTTCTGTGCACAAAGACTACTTATTTGTGCTTTATGTTAGTAGAGCATTCTTACATAGTGCACTCATAATACTCTGTAGACCAGTTTAAGAATTATTGACACTGGCCAGTTGGGTAATATATATCAATATATTGTTGTTGTTTTGTTTAATGTTTCAGAGTTTTTAATTTTTGATTCATTGAAAGAAAAAATATTTTTAAAAGAGTAATTTCACTAACTGAAAATAAAAAGAACATATTAGCTCTCTTTTTCTACCCAAGAGACATATTTAATTAGCAGTAGAAGGGATATTTCTTTCTTAGCTTTTGTCAAACGATAGAAAAATTTTTTTCTTTCTCAGCCATCAAAAAACACTCAAGTACTAAATGGATTTTTTTGTTACAAGACTGCAGCTCTCTATTGGAAATTAAGAATCATCAAAAGCTGTTACAATTTTCTTTTTAAATCAAATTGTGCATCTGGTTTTCACATATATTTTAAGGTTTTATACTGGTAGTTTGAATTTGAAACATATGGTTATATTTTAGTAACCTCTACTTATTATGAATGTCATATATATTCATAATATATATACTTTTTAAACAAATAGCATGCTGTCTGTATATTTCAGTTGTTGAATGATTATCTAAAATTGAACACAAATTTGTGATTATAATGGCATCCTTGGAGTTTTTAGCTTTAGTTATTGGTTTGTAATCTCTGTTATCCATAGGGAATATAGTATTCTCACCCTTTTTGCATTGTACATTTTGTATGTAGAATGATCCACATATATGGATAGTGAAATAGATAGTTAGACATATAGACAGACAGACACACCATGCACATTATAAAATAGTGACTTAGTATTGCAAAGAGAACTCTAAGACAAGCCCCAGAGCTATCACATCTAATTTGATTATTTCCCTGGAATCTTTGGACTTATTAGTACGTAATGGGAAGGATGAATGCTGTGCAATGGAATCCAGTGATGTTTTAGTATAAGCATGTATCAGTTCTTGACATGGGCTAGATTGAGTCATGGTACATGCTAGAAAAAAATGTGGGTCCTTGAAACTAAGAACTAGAGAATTTAAAATAGTATTTTAAACTGAAATTTTGGAACAAACGGAATGTAAGTTTATTTACCTGCTTGTTAATAACAGCGAAGGCCCCACATGATTGTCTATCTCGATAGAGGATAAAAGTTTAAATCATTCTTACCTTTGGGTGTCTGAAAACTATTAATCCTAAGAAATTTTGTGTGGGTATGTATCTTACAATTTTGCTTTATATTTCTGGAGACTACCCCTGCTATAATTAGAATAAATATTTAAACTGATAAGATGATTAGGGGGATGTATTTCTTGTTGCTTGAAAGGTAGCTTTTCTTACCACTATACCACCAATGCTCTTGTTGCCTGGAAAATCATAATGTCTGATGCTTTGAATAGACACTGTTTGTGGTCAGGAAACTTTACCTACTTTCCACACTGTTACATATGCCTATTCTTATCTCTGCACTTGTTTCCATTAGTAGAGGTGGTCATGGCCTTTGGTACAGTCCTGTTGCAGTTAGTTCTTATTTCTAACAGTTTGAAGATTTTCATTATTTGGCCTTTGTTTTTTCTCACAGCCGTTACTCTCCTATCATGTTGAACTCTGTATTTCCTAAAACTAAGGATAACAGTAGCCAATACTTATTGGGAACTAAAACACTAGAAACTGCTCAGAGCATTTTATGTTTCTTTAGTCTTCTACCTTATCAAACTCACTAAGAAATGCTAATACATTAATAATAGCCAAGGGCAAAGGTACATACAGTAATAGTCTGGCAGAGAGGGAACTCAAACCTGTGTTTCTTAAGCACTGTATTGAACTATTTCCCCAATTCACACTTCTTTTTTTTTGGCAAGTTGTTTTTTGCCATTGCTTAGGATTCTCTTACTCAACTCCCAGCTAATTCTTGTCTTCAAATAGGCTTGAGGAAATGCTGTAACAAAACAAAGTCACAAAGAAAGAATAGGCATCAAGTATTCAGAATAGAGAAGACATTGTACCTTCAGAAAGCAGTAATCTCAGAGACATTTGTGTGAGATAGTTATTATATTGCTTTAACAATAATTTAAGTTTTGTTTTGTTTTAGTTTGGTTTGGATTTTCTTAGAATGTTAGGATTTATAGTCAGGCATGATGGAACACATGTGCAGCCCTAGCACTTGGGAGGTCGAGGTAGGAGGATCAGAAGTTCAAGGTGTGTGTGTGTGTGTGTGTGTGTGTGTGTGTGTGTGTGTGTGTGTGTGTGTGTGTGTGTGTGTATGTACATGTGTATGTACACATAGTAAATATGAGGCCAATTTGGGCTATTTAAGATCCTGTCTCAACTGGGGGGTAGTGGCTCACACTTTTAATCCCAGCATAAGAGGCAGAGGCAGGTGATCTCTGTGAGTTTGAGACCAGCCTGGTCTACAGAATGAGTTCTAGGACAGCCAGGGCTACTCAGAGAAACCCTGTCTCAAAAAAAAAAAAAAAAAAAAAAAAAAAAAAAGACTCTGTTTCAAACAAAGGGAAGAACATTATGATGTAATTTTTATCCATAAATAGGTCCTCTAATGTGAGTAATAGGGATATAATAAGACTTTATCCTGTTCCTTTTACTATGTAAGAATGTTGGCAGTTAGAAATGGCATGGTTATCATGAAGTTCATTCTGCCTTTTCTGGGCCCATCCTTATCAAGAAAGACAAAATGATTTTAAGTGTGAGAAGGAGTTGTAGTTTCCTAGTATTAGTAGTATGCATCTATATACAATCACTTATGTAGTATACAAATGTTTTGTTTTATTGTAAAGTTTTACTGGATTCTGACAAAACTCTGGGCTTGATGCAGGGAATCCTGTCTCAATCATAATATATAAGATAAAAACACTGAGATATAGGTTACAAACATGACAGAGTTATATGGCTAATAAGTGTAGACCCCAAATCCAGTTTTCTCTTTTCTGCTTATCTTCTAAAAGTGGAGTCTAAGGACCTAGGAACAGAAGGTGCCATGACTAGAGTGCCTATGAATGGTATTTAAGCTGGTACAAGAGAGGTGCACTTGCCCTGATACTCTGTGTGGTCTTCCACGTGAAGATCATCTTCCTTGATTAAAAAATCTGCCATTAGCCCTTGTTTCTTTTTGTGCTTTTCACATGACCTGTAATTCAGTTTCTTTGTATGTATTATAGTCTTAACTGCTGCTGTTGTGGTATAGAAAGGAGAACATCCTTTCTGTTTATCTCTGAAAATAAAAATAGCAGAATACTGTTAAAGAACAACTGCTTTTCTATTTTCATTAAAGTTAATGTTATAAATTTGAGATTCAGTATTGCAAACCCAGATGTTTAGTAGCAATTAATGACAATCATCCCTATGAACTTCATGTCGAAAACTCTTTTAAGAAGCTACCTTTGTGAATCCCACCACACTCAGCAGCTGCCCCAGCTTATAGATACATACTGCCTTCTTCCTTTATGCTGCTTTTTTCTCAAGTGGTTTTTTGTTTATTTATTTTTGTTTTTGTTTGTTTATTTTCCCCTTCTGTACTTTATCAAGTATTCTTGTGTTCAAGGACTGATTCAGATTGTGTACTAGTTTCTCCAGTGTCTTCAACTCCAGCAGAATTTGTTTTATGCTATTTGATCCTACTAATGTGCTTCCACTGTTAGGATATGATCTGAAGCCTGTTAGAAGATTCTCTCCACTCTAGACTTCTGTCTCTTTACTTAATTGCTTAAAGTCTGGAACTGTATTTGTCTTCATACCCCTAGTACTTGGCAGGGTGCCTTGTCTAGTAGACACTTAGTAACTATTCAATTTGTATTTGTTTTTAGGTACTTTGCAGCAACTCAGTTTGAACCCCTGGCAGCAAGATCTGCTTTTCCCTGTTTTGATGAACCAGGATTTAAAGCCACATTTATCATCAAGATTACAAGGAATGAGCATCACACTGCATTATCCAATATGCCTAAGGTACTGTGACATGAAGGTAAAATCTTTGGATGGATCTCTGAGAACAGTTGGATTCCTTTTTATTGTACTGTTGGTAGGAATATTTAGATTCATATATGTATATATTACTGAAATAGTTAAATAAAAATGGAAAAATTTGTCAGCTCAAGGAACATGTGAAGAAGGAAAAGACCTTGCAGGATTTAGAATGCATGGGGAGGAGATGTGAAATGTTTTCTTGCTCTACAGTTGCACAAATACTAACACTATGAACTAGTACAAACCCAGTAAACTACTCAAGACATAATGAATTTGCTTTTCTAAGCAGTGTTGAGAGTGTGGAATTGTGATTATTCTTGGTGTTTTGGCAAATGAAACTTTTGATTATTGTCATGTGGAAATGGACAACAAATACAGGAGCTTCTTTCTTGAATGTTAGTTGCATGGGAGGTAGTCGGGATAAAACCAAACAGAGGGGTTTTATGCTAAACAGAACTTGGGGTTCCTTTTGTGTCTACCTGAATGGCTTTGTGCGGTCTGTGTGATGCTCCCTAGAACCTGTGTAGCTAGGGGTGAGAAATAGCCACAGCCAGCAGGTAATACAGTCTACTCCCATAGACAGTAGACAGCATGATCATTTATTGTCAGAACCCTACTCATAGCCAAACTCTTCACCTTAATCAGTCTCTTAAAGAGGTGGGCACCTACTTATCTAATAACCCGAAGCATAGCCTGATTCACGATTAGTAAATCCTGAGAGTTGCTGGCATTTCTCCACCTTTAGTCTGTTGCAGACTTCTCTAGTGGCCTAACACATTTGATTCCACTAAGTTTTCCTGGGGGTCCTCCAAGGAGCACTAGACCATGTTAGAAGATATCTTAGCTACAGTTCCTTCTTGAAGTCAGCTATCCTAAGGTTCTGGGGTGGTGGGGGGAAGGATTTGCATTTTGCTACAGTTTTTTTCTGTTTTTCGAGACAGGGTTTCTCTGTGTAGCTTTGCGCCTTTCCTGGGACTCGCTTGGTAGCCCAGGCTGGCCTCGAACTCACAGAGATCCACCTGGCTCTGCCTCCCGAGTGCTGGGATTAAAGGCGTGCGCCACCACCGCCCGGCTTGCTACAGTTTTTAAATGGAGAGACAAAAGCCACTGCTCCCTGTAATTTAAATATATTGAGAGCCATGTTGGGGTTCTCATTGTACTCGGTGTATCCTCTTGATCAAGGGTAGTAGAAGAAACTGAAACAAGGGGCTTTGCTCTCTAGAAATTTGTGCTGAAAGATTAAAATATACAATTATTATCTAAATGCATTTTTAGTTTCTTAGTATATTTGTCATTGATTGCTTTAATTACAGAACTGTCATCTTTTTTTTCCCCTTTGGCTATAGAAGTCATCAGTCCGTACAGAAGAAGGACTTATTCAGGATGAGTTTTCTGAAAGTGTGAAAATGAGCACATACCTGGTTGCTTTCATTGTAGGGGAGATGAGGAACCTGAGTCAGGATGTAAATGGAACCCTGGTATGTTGGTGTACTAATTGTCTGAAAGCCTATTTATAGTAAGCTAAGTAGAATTCTTTAATGATTCTTGGTAGTTGCCTTATGAAGACAAGCTTTTAGATCAGATTCTGATATTTTATAACAGACATACTATTCTTACTTAACTGTTGTGTTTATCTAAGTTGTTCTATTACTAATAAAGACTTGGTATGGTGATATTTTATTTTGTATTAAAATGTTATTTGTATGTTAATAAATAAAGTTGCCCAGGGGTCAGAGCTATTAGCAAGCCATAGGAAAGCAGGGCAGTGGTGGCGTACGCTTGTAATCCCAGCACTTGGTAGGCAGAGCTAGGTAAGTCTCTGTGTGTTCAGGGATACAGTCAGTATTGGATACACATGCCTTTAATCTTAATACCAATCATAGAAAACCTGGAGGTCTATACAGACAGGCCGTGATGAGGCGGTCATGTGGTTGGGTTTACAACCAATGAGAAGGCAGAACAGAAACTCTATATAAAGACTTTAACACAGGAAGTAGCTCTGGTTTGGAGAGAGAGGACCACCGCAGGAGGAAGGGTAAGGTTTTAACTCTTAGCTCTGACCTCTTGGCTTTCTTCTTTGCGTTGGTTCTGTGTTTCTGATTTAATAAGACGGTTGGTTACATCTACAACTTGGGAGTCAGATATTGGGGTGAAAACCTGATAGACCAAAGAAGTGGCAGAGGAGTGACTAGCTGACCTTCTCTCCACACTTCCTAGACCAAAAAGGAAGTATAAAAAAGCCTTGGAATCTCCAAGTCCCTCCTTATTCCTTCCTGTGCCTCTATTGCATCCTGGGTCCTCCATATACTCTTGACTAGTTCTTGTCAACTAGTCGCTGACTCCACCCCCCTCATTCAAGGTTACTTTATTAACTCAGTCTCAGGATGTCACAGAGTGATCAAATATCCCACAACACTTAACTCTTATTTACTGCTATTCATTTAATACCTGAAAGTCAATAGTTTTCAAGTGTTCTATTTTGTAATAGAATTATAGTAAGATAACACAGTATACCAATATTTCTAGAACTATGCTGTAGAATGTGATGGTCAGTAGCCTTGTACTGCTCTTTGGTTTTAAACTAAAATAAAATGTACAAGTCTCTGCTTGCCATACTTTAAGAGTTAGAGTAGTTTGTGTGGCTATTGATTGTCATATTAAATTAGCTGTAAAAATGAGATGAATACTCTTTAAAAAAATTTTAGGTGCTGGGCTAAGATCAGCAGTGTTTCTAAGCATGTGGAAGACTCTAGTTTCAATCTCCAAAACCAGAAGAAAAAAGCAAGTCCTGGTTGAGTTTATGTGTAAGATTGTTTAATTTAAGGGCCTGGTTTATTTCCATTTTCTCATAATTTGTGTTTTAATAAGGCTTTTTTTGTCATTAGTATCCATGTATAAATAGTTGTTTGATTTGAACTTTTATAGTAGAGATATAAACACTGATGATAGAGAAGAGTTATTTTTAAATACTTACTTTCTCTTTACTTACCTTTCCAAACCTGCTCCCCATCTGCCATGCTAGCTTGTTATTGTCTGTAGGATTACATTAAAATTCATCATGATATTTAAGACCTTTCTTTACAAGCTCAGCTATATTTTCAGTTGTTCTAGAGTGAATTCTTCCATCACTCCTAGTGTCATAATTCATTATCACATACATAACCCATCCTCATGTATGCTTGGTGTTGGGAAGAAACTTCAAGAAAAGTGTTTCACATAGCTTTTTTTGAGTGGTGGGCAGAGGCTTTTATACTCATTTGTATTAGGTGGCAGCACAGTTTAACAAGAATAAGTCTTTGGTATGGAATCGCTCCTTCATAATTACTAGCTCTGATCTCTTGAAGAGACTGAATTCTAATCCCCTCTACACTTCATTTTTTCAGTACTGTAATATATACAGACACACACAGAAAAGAAATTCCATTTACATGTATATGTGTATTATATATGCATATATACATATGCATAGATAGAATACACATTCTCTTTTTCCATATGTAACTGTATCATTTAATCTTTTGCATACTAAGAGATGTAATCTCAGTTTTTGTACTGCCTAGTAGTAAATATGGTTTTTTTTAGCAGCATGAATAAACAATAGTTTTACTATTTTTCTCCTTTTTTATTAGGAAATGGATAGGACATACTTTGTGTTAGCAACTGTGCTAGGAACTCATTTATAAACATTTTATTTTATGAAATAAAGATGATCACAGCATTAGCCCCATATCTCTGATGAGAGAGTGTCTCAGAAAGGTTAAGTGATTAACCTAGGTGCCAGTGGGAGAGAGTTTTACTCTCCACCACTATATAGTGCTGACATCAGTAACTTGTGTAGGTGTTGCAACCAGAAGTCCAAAACTTGGAAGGTAGGTGAAGAATTTTTGTTATTCTAAGATGTTGAAATCCAGCTTCTATTTTATAATATAGGTCTGTTTAACAAGGTTTAGGAATAAAGAGGTAGAATTATACTACTAAACTGATTTTTATCAATAACTGTAGATTACTATATGTGCCCTGTTTATTACTAAAGTCTGCTTTAATGTCCAAGCCTCAAAGGAAAAACAGGATTTAGGGATATAATCCAGTTCACTGGACATTAGCCACACCCTAGGTTCAATACCAGTAACACTCCTCCCACCAATTTTTTTTTTTTTACCTTTTATATTTCAGTTTTTATTCCTTAAACTTATCTTTTTTTAGTAGAAAGTGAAAGATCCATTTGGTGTGAAAAAAATGATTTTTTTCTTCATAGGAATGTTAGAATTACCTGGAAAATTGTAGGCCAGGTGTGAAAAATACTGCTTCCTGCTTCTCTAGAGGCTTTTGTTTTGTTCTGTTTTGTTTCCTTTCTTCCTGCTTTTCTTTTTGTTATAGATGGGCTAGTTGATAGAATTAGTTTAATCAGTCAGATATGAGTACTGCGTCTGACATGTAGCATTTAACTAGAGCCCTCAACAGTATTATCAATATAGCTATAATTTTAATTTATTCACAACATGTTTTTGTTCAAAATTTCTAAAATAATTTATATCTTGTCTTAGTTAGGGTTACTGTTGCTGTGATGAAACACCATGACCAAAGAAACCTGGAGACGAAAGGGTTTATTTGGCTTACACTTCCACAGCACTGTTTATCACTGAAGGAAGTCAGGACAGAAACTCAAACAGGGCAGGATCCTGGAAATAGAAGCTGATGCAGAAGCCATGGAGGGATGCTGCTTACTAGTTTGTGTCTATGGGCTTTGCTCAGCCTGCTTTTGTTATAGAACCTGGGGATAGCACCAGTCACTGTGGCTGGGCCCTCCCCCATCAATCACTAATTAAGAAAATACCTTACAGCTGGATCTTTTTTTTCCCCCTGGTTTTTTCGAGACAGGGTTTCTCTGTGTAGCTTTGCGCCTTTCCTGGATCTCACTCTGTAGACCAGGCTGGCCTCGGAACTCACAAAGATCCACCTGGCTCTGCCTCCCGAGTGCTGGGATTAAAGGCGTGCGCCACCACCGCCCAGCTACAGCTGGATCTTATGGCAGCATTTTCTCAGTCGAGTTTCCCTCCTTTCAGATGACTCTAGCTTGGGTCAAGTTGACATTAAACTAGCCAGGACATATCCCAAATGTCTTTCAATCATCCTGGTACACTTTTCACATTTGATATCATCCCCTTCTAGTTCATCTAATCAGTCATTAGGATGGGACTCAGTATATTCTTTATGTTAGGAATTCATGCTTTCTGTAATGTGTTTAGTTAACCTGTTTTGGAAGGCCAGTGTGTCCTTTAGATCCTACAGGCCATGTTATTACTTCTCATGGGCGTGATAAGGTTTGGTCCTGCTTTTGTTAGCTAGTTTTTGTTTTTATTCCTCTAAGTCACAGACAGGTTAAACCTACCAAATACTCTATTTTTCCGTCGTAAAGAACCTTTTGCTCTGAGGAAGCAGGGATCTTCATAGCTGTAGTTACAGAAATCTCTTAAATGGTCCTAGCAGTAGATGGCAAGAAAGCATTTAGGCTATAGCTATTAAGGCCTAGTTGCCAGTAGACTTTCATTTGACCGTGACTAAGATATTTGTTTGTTTGTTTTCTTTCCTTTTTTTATCTTTAATCTTTTTTTATTAAGTTTCAACCCAGAGCCTTAGGCTTGCTAACTTCCTCCTGTACCACAGAGCTGTACCCCAAACCACCAAACAGTAGTAATCAGTGTTCTCTTACCCAACCCAAAATGTTGTTTAAGGCATTTTTTCCCCTTATATGCATGGTAGTGAAGACCTGTAATCCCACTTACTCAGGATGCTGAGGCAGAAGGATCACAGGTTCAAGACTGAGCCTGGAGAACTTAATGAGACCCTGTGTCCAAATAAAAAGTAGAAAGCGGCCTTGGGAAATAGCTCAGTGGTGGAGTGCTAGCCTAATATGCATGGGACCATATTTTAAATCCTTCAGATCACAAAATGGCAAAAAATATTTCTACTGAGACATATTTTTTGCTTTGCTTATTTTCTACTGTTTTATTATTTATTAGAATGAGATTGATATAAATATAATGAACACATGATGTATGTGTATTAAGAAGATAAAAGCCCGTGGTTTTGTTTTTGTTGTTGTTTTTGTGTTTTGTTTTGTTTTGTTTTGTTTGAGACAGGGTTTCTCTGTGTAGCCTTAGCTGTCCTGGAATTCACTCCCTAGACCAGACTGAGGCTGCACATATTCTTTTAAGGAGAAGAAAAAGTAGAAAGAAAGAAAAATATCCAAATTACCTTTCTCCTAATTGTATTCTAGGATTGAGAATAATTGCATCCCTTGGTCAAATTTCAGTTTCTTTTATAATCCTGTCATATGTACTTAAACTATGAATTTATCTACCAAATGATAGGTAGAAAGCATAGGTATTTAAGCAACCTGTGTGCTTTTTTATATATGCTTTTTTCCTGAGTGTGTAGCCTGAAGTGAATGGGCAAGGTGAGACCTGAATCATAGTGAGGGTATATAATGATATGATTTTTTTTTATATTATGATCCATAAAAGCAAGACAACTGATGATTTGTTTACTAATATGTATTTAGTGCCTACTGAAGTACAGGCACAGTAATAGGATTAACACCTTAGTTTTGTACTGCAGATAACGCATCGTCGTCATGTTCATAAATAAGAGCATTTCTATGTCTTAGGAGTACAAGAATGTAAAATTAGATAGGATAGTGCTTATTATTTTCTCTGAGATATACCACAGTAGTTTGAGATATTGGTAAAACTTTAAAAAAATTAAAACATGAGGTAATTCTTTTGTGCAAGTATAGATACAGCTGACTTGTTCTGTGTGGCTGGAAGAATTTTAAGCAAGAGTTTCTATCTGAAAAGATCTCATATAGTATGCACTTCTTAAATTTGCTGGTCCTAATAGTCCTCAGCTGAGTGGCATAGCATTTTAATTTTACCTGTCTTTACATCATGGATTATGTTTCTCTTTAGGTTTCAATATATGCTGTACCAGAAAAGATTGGTCAAGTTCACCATGCCTTGGACACAACTGTAAAGCTCCTTGAGTTTTATCAAAATTACTTTGAAATTCAATATCCACTTAAGAAATTGGGTAAGAATTTAATAGAGGCTTTGATTTTTATTGCAATTTATAATGAAGATTTGCTTTACAAATGATTTTTTAGAAGAAGCTTTTGCCAAAATTGTTTAAAAAAAACCAAGAAATATTGTTAATGCTGTAAAAATTTTATTTGTTAAGATTATTTACAATCTCTAAGTTTTCTGAACTTGAACTTTAAATAACTTATATAACTTAAAAGTTTATGGAGTTGTAGGAATATGCTTAGGGCTCCATCTGGAGTTGGACTAACTTCCAAGAAATTTCTGATTCAAATAATAAAAAGTACATACCAGGAGCCCGTGAAAGTAAGAAGATTGAAGTTCTGTTCAGTGTGATGCTGGTTCTGAAGGACGTAATGGGATTTGCCCTGGGCTTTGTCTTGCTTACTCTAATCTGATTCATTGTCAAGGAAATGGCTATTTTTTTCTTTGTTAGGGACAGTAGAATTGTTGATCATAAAAGGGTTGGATCAGGTCTTCCTCAGCTAGCTGACAGCCAGGTGCAGAGCATGTAGATCTAGGAAAATGAAGATTCTGTGTGTTAAAGATCATGGAAGATCTCACTGTCTTTATTTGGTAAAGTATCTTGACTTAGGGAGTTCTGTAGATGAGAAGTTGATCTATTCTTTCATGTTATGTCCAGATTTGGTGGCCATTCCTGACTTTGAAGCGGGAGCAATGGAAAATTGGGGCCTGATTACATTCCGAGAAGAGACTCTTCTGTATGACAATGCCAGTTCTTCAGTAGCAGATAGAAAATTGGTTACTAAAATCATTGCTCATGAGCTGGCACATCAGGTATTACCAACCAGTGCATTACATCTAAAGCCCTAGAGTTTTAGTAAGCACCTGTATAATATTAAGTATATTACTATTCTGTGGTTTTAGTGTTGCTATTATATAAAAAAAATAAGCTTTTTAAACACAAACTTAATGACCAAGGGAAAATAATATGTTAGAGCTTCATATTTAAGTCATTTTCACATTCATTGTCTCATCTCACAAATGTCCTAAGGTGAGTGGTAATCCCATTTTACAGGTATAGAAACTGAGACTCAGCTCTAAGAAATGACTTGTTTAAACATACACAGCTAGTAAATGGTAACCTTGAAGAATAACTGTATCCTCAGATTATCTTTTTTATTACCACAGTGCTAGGACCAAGCCCAGAACTTTGTGTTTGTTAGACAGTACTTTACCACTGATCTCAATTCTCCAACCCTGGAATATCATTTTTCCCTTAATAATACACATCTGCATCACATCTGGCAACTACCAGCTGCTCAGTATATCCTTGTAGGATAGAACTTTTTCCCTCAGTTACACCATCTTCTTTATTAAGACAAAGCCTTCTTAATGTGTAGCTCACATTTCTCCTGCCTCAACTCTTAAGTACCAGATCATAGCTGTGGGGCTCATACCCAACTCCTTACTAACAATTCTTGAATCATAGTTGTCAGGACCAAATTTCTTTTTCTATTTCTTGCTAGAACTAGGTTCTTTATTACTGTGGGAGAAGGAGCTCTCCCCATATAGAGTGAAGGAATTCTTTGTATAAGATTAAAAAAGAAAAGAATTGTCCATATATATCCCCATTCCCAAAATATTATCTCTCTTGTGCCCTAGATATGAGATGCTTTTCAGTGTAGGGTGTGGTTTGGGAAACTGTGAAGTGGCGATACATGAAGGAAGACTAGAAAGTGCTGTGACCAGTTAACTTGGTCTCAAACATCATCTGTAGATGACTCTGTGACCTTTGTAAAAACTTCTTGGCAAGCTGATAAATGAAGCATATATTTACTGCTGTAAATGGGCTGGAAGATAAGTTGTCTTTTGTGAGTTTTTTTTTTTTTTTTTTGGTTTTTCGAGACAGGGTTTCTCTGTGTAGCTTTGCGCCTTTCCTGGAACTCACTTGGTAGTCCAGGCTGGCCTCGAACTCACAGAGATCCGCCTGGCTCTGCCTCCCGAGTGCTGGGATTAAAGGCGTGCGCCACCACCGCCCGGCGTGAGTTTTTTTTTTAATCCTGTTATTTCTGAGACCACTCATTACCACTTAGACTATTTCTCTTATTTTTTTCTTTTGTTTAGGGCTTATCACTCATCTTCCTGTTAAACAGATTTTTAAGATAGTATCTTAGAAAAAGAAATGATTGAACTCTCAAAAGTAATTTTGTTTTATTGTAGTAATAACCTTATTTTTTGCTACTGATGTGAAATAAACCCCAGACCACACTGACAAATTTGTATCCCCATGACCATTTTTTATTGCAAGTATTTTAAAAAGAAGTTTGTGCGTGTGTGCCTGCACTCGTGTGTGTGTGTGTGTGTGTGTGTGTGTGTGTATGTGTGTGTGTGTGTGTGTGTGTGTGTGTGCCTGAGTGTGTGTGTGTCTATGTGTGTATGTCTGTATGTGTTCTGTCTATGTGAGTGTATGAGCATGTGAGAGCACATGTGGAGGACAGAAGAGTGCATCAGGTGCCCTCTTCCATCACTCTCTACCTGTCCTGAGGCAGGGTCTCTTTCTAAACCTAGAACTCACATTTAGTGAGGTTGGGAGACCACAAACCCCAGTGATTTGCCTGTTTGTACCTCCCTAGAACTGGAATTGCCGACGTTTGTGGAGAATTACATGGTGGCTTGTTACATGGGTGCTGAGATCCAAACTCAGATCCTCAGGATTGCAGGGCAAGTGCTAACTGCTGAGCCACCTTTCCATGCCCACAAGAGACCTAGGAGGGCCTCTTACCTTTTGCCTTCTTTTTACTACCATATATAGAAAGCATTTAAAGATTTCTGTGTGTGTGTGTGTGTGTGTGTGTGTGTGTGTGTGTGTGTGTGTGTATACGCGTGCACACATGCGCGCGCGACAGCTTTCTATAGGAATGTTACTTGAATCTTGTGTGAATCATGTGTCTTGAATTCAGATAATGGAGGAGAAACATGAAATCCAGACCCTCTGACAATCTTTAGTTGTTATGAATAATTGTATATATATATATATATAAAATGGAAAATAACCTTACTAACTTAGTATTAGATCAGATAATTTCATTATCTAAGAAATCTCACCTTAATGAAACAGCTTAAAATTTTCATTATCTATATAATCTGATGTGTTTTATGTAAAAAATTCATATACATTTTAATAAATAAATATATTCACAGTCTTTCCTGCTTCTTTTCCCATTCAGCTAAGGTAAAATGTTGAAGTTTTTATTTTACTACTAAAATAAGTTTATACAACTTTTAAAATCCTTTATTTTTTGGTACAGTTTGTATAATTTTAATAAGTCTTTAATTGTTCTGGATATAGTTTATTTTAAGACATTTTAATTTGATTATCTGTAATTAGCCTGATAGTTAATCCAATTAAGAAATTCCTGGGAATATACATATCATGCTGGTTACTAGCTTGTCTTTCCTACAGTGGTTTGGTAATCTGGTTACAATGCAGTGGTGGAATGACCTATGGCTAAATGAAGGCTTTGCGACTTTCATGGAGTATTTCTCTGTGGAAAAAATATTCAAAGAGCTCAACAGTGTAAGTACTGTATTTCTTTATTCTATGAGGCAGGAATATCGAGGTTATGAGTTATACTTACCATATATTTTCTATGCATTTGAGGTAATGAAAATTTTTTAGAAAGCTATAGCAAAATCTATAATTCTGGAGATTTTACAATTAAAATCACACTCTTGCTTATTGATGTAGTTCATTGAACATTGAAATAGTTATGTATGATCATATTTTTTACTTTAGGATGAATATTTTAACTACTACATTTTTTAAAATAAATATAGTTCTTCTGTTTGAAGGAATTTAGATAAAGTTGGAAAATTTGTTTTGTTAAAAAAGCTTAAAAATCTTTGTATTAAGAGAAATGAAATGAAGACTGCTGTCAATACTGCTTTTTATGTTGTCACTGAGTGCATTCTTTCAACAGTTTTTAAGCAACATATAAGTTGCTATTAATTAATTAGTTAATTAGTTTTCCTTGCTGTATACAAACCACATGTCATACTGTTTCAAAGTCTTGAATACCATCCTGTTGTAGAGAGGCATTATGTTGTGAGTTGTGTCATTAGAGTTTGGAGATATTTCCTGTACTCACAGCTGTCATAGTAAGCCATAATTTGGCAGATATTGCTGAAATAATTCAAGCATTATTGGGCAGCAGAGGGGAAACATGAAACTTGGGCCCCTCAAACTGTAGGAAAACCTCCCACATAGAAATGTTTTCAACCCTAAAATTCTGTGACTTTGTGTTAGACTCCTTACAGATATTATTCATGTACTTGCAGTAATACTCTTGAGAATTTCAAGTTCAACATTTCTGTATATAGGGCTTGATTAAAATTGCAAGTAATTTTTAGTTGGAATACTAAGTAGGTAGTTTAAATCATGTGTGCTACTTAATTAAGCAATGAAATACACAGTTTCACCACTTGGGGGTGCCCAGAATGCTTAAAATTCTAATATACATTCTAGGGGAACTCTTGGCTGAGCTCTCTCTCTGTGCTTTCAGACTGACTTGTACTTTATTTAAAATAACCTTAACTAAGAATTGTATATTATTTTAACAGAAACTCAAGGTAAGGACCAAGTTTCTGTCCTAAGTTTCAACTTTTAAAAATATACTTTAATCTTCATTGAATATTTATCTTGGATATTCAGATTTGGAAATTTGCTTTCGTTAGTTGTATATTCTTAATTCTATAGTTATACTCTTCTTTTGGAAATGCTAATTCTCATGTCCCTCAATTCTAAGTGCAGTTTTGAATTTAAGGAATATTCATATACTGTATTTTCAGTAGTTTATATGCTAAAATTTAGTGAACCCAGGTTTTTTAATTTTGTAGCAATTTGCATAATTTATATAAATGCTATAATTGCCTTTATACTGGTCATGACTTCCTACTACTTTTTTTTTTTTGCTAGTACGAAGACTTCTTAGATGCTCGATTTAAAACCATGCGGAAAGATTCCTTGAATTCATCCCATCCAATATCATCATCTGTTCAGTCTTCAGAACAAATAGAAGAGATGTTTGATTCTCTTTCCTATTTTAAGGTATTACTGTGCACAAAGAAATGTGAATTGTTTGTTTGTTTGTTTGTTTGTTTGTTTGTTTGTTTTGAGACAGGGTTTCTCTGTGTATCCCTGACTATCCTGGAACTCTTTCAGTAGACTAGGCTGGCTGTGATCTCAGCAATCCGCCTGCCTCTGCCTCCTAAGTGCTGGGATTAAAAGCATGCACCACCACCATCCAGCTAAGAAATATACTTTTAATAGACTTCAAACTCACTTTATAAGTCAGCAAACAGCCTAATCCGTATTAAAGATTGAATAAATAATGCTTTTGAGTATCCTATTAAAGTTTAAACTGTTTAAATTTTAAAGATCTAAGTCTGTTTAAATTTTCATCTTAACTTTTGTGAATATTTCTTTCTCTGTCTCCCTCTTAGTCACTGTGACTAGTGAAGCAGATCCTGTAAGAATTCATCTTTCAAAGTTAGTTTCCTCTGTTGATCTACAAGTAGAATGTGTCCTGAGAAAAGAAGGTCCTGAGCAAAGCCCTTCATTGTATTACTCAGAATTGAGATATTTTCTAGAATCAAGATCACCAAAATAATTAAGCAAAAAATTTATTTTAATAATTGACAATTGCTATTACCCTTCAGGTTGTGAAACATAAACACCAGGTTTGTGGATGGAAGTGGAAGCTCTGTTGGGATCTGAGCAGATTGGAGAACAGAGAAAGTGTGGTGTCAGTGTTACTGTCAGAGGGCAGTGTTAAAACTGATTAGCCACTTATTTATTTATTTACTTATTTATTTTCCCTGATTAGCCCTTTATGTTTGGTTGTCAGATTACTTGGCTAGTAAATCCCTGTGCTAGATAGAGAAGAAAGCACATTGAATATGTGAGAATAGAACCCATATTATCAAAAGGCTCAAAATTGGGTGGTAAATACATGTGGAAGAGTAAGAGAAGTTACATATGCTGAACTGTACAGAGAATTTATGCATGCTGAAGAGATACTCTGAAGAAATATAAGGTTTGAAATACCTCTAAGAGCACAAGGTAGGACATAGATGGAATAGTACACTCTGCAGAGAAGAACCAGGAGTGCTGATGGCAGCTGGGGCAGGGACATTTATGCAGAGATGGGGCCAGAGTGAGTTAGGAAGGTAAGAAAGGAGGCATGAGCCTCAGCTACAGGAGGTCCTGAATGTCATAAGAAATCTAGGTGTTTTTAAATATAATATTGATTTGATTAAACTTGATATTTAGAGAACTGAAATTGATTCAGTTTATAAGTGGATTCCAGTAGGGAGAGAACAAAATAGGACATGGCACTGAACATCAGACATGCAGTGGTGGGTGTTTGAAGTGAGTGGTCATAACAATGAGAAGAAAATAGATCTAAAAATAAGGTGAGTTTTTGAACTTGAAGGACTTGGTAACAGGGTAAGTCAGATAAAGGCAGTGTTTTCCAGATTCAAGCCTTCATCAAGAAGGAAGGAAATTATAGTACTTTTAACAAGAAATCAGGAGTTTAATTTGGTCTAAAAATACATACACTAATTTCCCTTTATCTGCAGTTTTACTTTCTGTGGCATCAGTTACCTATTATTAACCATCTTATGAAAAATATTAAAAGGAAAGGTCCAATAATAAGCAATTCAAAAATTTTAACCTACATGTCATTCTGAGTTATGGGAAAAGCTCATGTTGTGTATGCTTCCCACCTGTTCACTACTAAGTACCTTCTCAATTATCAGATTAACTGACTCAATTAGGGCTATGGTCAAGTATCTCTTATTTTATTCATTTAATGATTCCTAATGCATAAGACTTGTCTTATTACCAAAGCAAAGGTATGAAGTAGTTCCTTTAAGTGACTAGGTCAAAGTTCTTAACCTTATAAGAAAAGAAAAATTATAGGTCTGTCTAGTTAATATCTTTACTAATATCTTTACTTATTATTTCAAAATAATAAGATATTTTGAAAGAGACTACATTCACTTGACTTATTACAGTTATTGTTTACAATTATTTATCTTATTATTAGGAATTATTAATATTGTATTACCTAATTCATAGATTAAATTGTATTGTAGGGGAAAGCATAGCATATGTAAAGTTTTGTGCTTTGTGGTATCTGGCATCCACTAGGAGTCTTGGAAATTATCCCCAGTGGATAATGAAACTACTGTATTCTAGTTTTTTACTATAGTGATTTTTAAAGCCCATACTTGAATGGTCAGTAAAGAAAAGTTTAAAACATGTGTTTCTGTTGTTATACAGAAGTTAAATAAAGTTGTTATTCCAAGACATGTTATAACTGCTCTGACACCAATCTTCTAAAACCAGAATTCATACATACCTTCTGATCATGAGATCAGTAGCATACTTAATCCCCGACAATATGGTAACTGCATATTTTACAGTTGGAAATTCGGCCAATATCACACATCACTGAGAAAAATAGAACATAGAATAATTTTAGTATTTTGTGCAAGAAGAAACAAATGTCTGGGGAAGTGTGTTTGACAAATATATTCCATTTGTTCTTCATAGTCACCAAGCCACTGACACAGGTTGCCTTGTGAGGTTTCATTCATTAGCCAGTTTTGAAAGAACCATGTGCTACGGGAGATTCTTCAGGAGACCAAGTAGACAATGTTTCTTTGGATTATCCATTTCATGGTTCAAACGTAGAGGCAGATATTAGATAAATAAAATAATTAATAGGCGCTATAGGAGATGAAAGAAAGAAGAGAAGTGAGAATAAAAAAAAATGCCATTTGACATAGTATAGTTGGGGAAGGCCACAGTAGGGAGGGAATATTTGTAACCCATTTGAGAATGAAGCTTGTGGGCTCCCGGGGACAAATATTTTAGGGAGAACTAATTAAAGTATAGACCTTGTTTGCAGAAAAGAGTTAATGTCACAGTGTTAGAACAACTGGCCTTTGGTAGCCTACCTAAAAGGCTATTCCTTCCTTAGGTGGTATTTGGCAGTCCAGGTTTGGGGGCAGTTTGTAATGTTGTTGATGAAAATTATTTACTCTGCCTAAGCTATACCAAAAATGTAGTTATGCTAAATGCCTTCTATTTCTTGGGAGCTCAGGAATTTGGATATATGCAAATCAGAAAGTACTTCTATGCCAACCCTTTAATCCTAGACCAAAAAAAAAAAAATAAAATTGAAGTTTGGATGTTGAATTTCTTTAAACAGTGACCCTGGTTAACAGTGTTCCATACATTATCACAGCTTGCTAAAGGAAAGAAGTACATCCTATCTAGTAGGAGAGGGCTCAGGAAGATGGATGTGTAGCTTCTGTTCGAATTTCTAAGTCGTCTTATAATAAAAATCCTGAGCCAGATATCGGGGTGAAAGCTTAAAGATTAGAGAAACAGAGCAAGCCACAGCCACCACCTATTACCTCACCAACTTCACAAATCCTCTGACTGAAATCCTCTGAGTCCTCACCCAAAAGGGTCTCAGCTGAACTGCCTTAGTTCCTGTCTCCTCACGCCTTATATACCTTTCTCTACCCAGCCATGTCACTTCCTGGGGTTAAAGGCATGAGTGCTTCCCAGTACTGGGATTAAAGAAGATGTGTGCCACCACTGCCTGGCTCTGTGTCCAGTGTGGCCTTGACCTTACAGAGATCCAGATGGATCTCTGCCTCCTGAGTGATAGGATTAAGGGTGTGTGCTACCACTGCCTGACCTCTATGTCTAATATAGTGGCTGGCTCTGTCCTCTGATCCTCAGACAAGTTTATTAGTGTACACAATATAGCACCACAGGCTTCCTTTAGACTTCACCCATGTAACTACTCCTCAGATGATTTTGCCTTGTTTTCATTGTAATAGATTATAATTGTGAGCATGCCTATCAGCTGAGTTTTGTGAGTCCTTTTAGTGCTGCATCTAACCTGGAACTGGTGTTAGGAAGTTCCACACAGCTTAAGATGACAGATTGCTTTTCATGCTTAAACATAATGTAGGAGCAGGGTATTTGAAATAGAATAAGCAATGGAAAACTAGTAGATGAAGTCAACAGAATTATTAAGCGAAATCATTGTGAAGTGTAATATATAATAAAGGCCTTTTATTCTAGGTGAAAAAGGACATTTGATCAGGGAAGTATTATGATATTTCTTACTGTTTTAAAAATTATGTCCTATGTTTAACATCACACGAAGTCATGATGACTGAGGTAGTTGTCATGGATGGACTATGATTGTAATGAGAAATGATATATGGTTGGACTTGGAATGTGTTACAAAAAAAAAAAATCTAGTAGCATTTGCTGATAGATTATATGTAGAATGTATGAGTGGAGTCAAACATAAACTCCTGAATGCTGTCCTCTGGCCTTCACATTTACACACACACACACACACACACACACACACACTAAAAAGTTTTCTCTCACCAACTAGAAATTAGAATTGTCATTTACTGAAATGGAGAAGACTGCTGTATAAGTAGAATTGGGCAAAGAAAAAACTGAACTGTTTAGTATGAGATGTATATTAACCATACAAGTGGAGATACCAAGTAGGTAGTTGAATGTTGTTGGTTGTTTTTGCTTTTTGACTCTTTTGGCTCTTTGTGGGGCCCACCACCCAGTTCCCAAATAAGTCACACATGGAGGCTTGTTCCTAATTATAAATGCCTGGCCTTAGCTTGGCTTGTTTCTTGCCAGCTTTTCTTAACTTTAAATTAGCTAAATTAGTCCATCTGCCTTTTGCATCTGGGCTTTTTCCTTTTCTTACTTCTGTAATCTTACAATAACTCTTACTCCATGGATGGCTGGATGGCTGGATGGCTGGCCTCTGTGCCCTCCTCTCCTTGTTCTCTTGCTCTTTCTTCTTTCCTCCCAGATTTCTCCTTTTATTCTCTCTGCCTGCCAGCCCCACCTGTCTTTTCTCTTGCCTTGTTGTTAACTGTTCAGCTCTTATTAGACCATCAGGTGTTTTACACAGGCACAGTAACACAGCTTCACAGTTAAACAAATGGATCATAAAAGAATGCAACACATCTTTGCATTATTAAACAAATGTTCTACAGCATAAACAAATGTAACACATCTTAAAATAAAATTCTACAACAGTTGAATATAAGTCTGGATGGAATTCAGAAGTAAAATCTAATTAGATATATAAATCAGGGGGTTAAAGCCCCTAGATTTGAGAACAACTAGAAAGCAAATTTAGGTGGCAAAAATTAGAGGCTCACTGCACAGTGGTGGTACATGCCTTTAATCCCAGCACTCAGGAGGCAGAGGCAGGTGGATCTCTGAGTTCGAGACCAGGCTGGGCTACAGAGTGAGTTCCAGGAAAGGCACAAAGCTACACAGAGAAACCCTGTCTCAAAAAAAACAAAACAAAACAAAACAAAAATTAAGAGTCTCAAGGGTCTAAAGAGCAAATGGCAGGGCACACCAAACTTTAGTCATTGGGAAGATAAGATTCAGTAAGAAAGACGTGACCATAGCATTGAATTAGAGGTAAAATTAGGAACACTCTCCCAAGGCTGGGTGCATAAAGACTTTCAAGCAGGAGTGGGAAATCAGTCATATTAACTGCTATCAGTGCATTATTGATAAGGTGAGTAAGAGAAGTGAGATTGATCTGACACCAGAAAATTCACCAGTGTCCTTGGTTATGATATTGCTAGTAGAGTAATGGTTAGTCTGTGGTATAAAAGAACATGAAAAGAGAGCACATGTAGATGACTGTAGAATTTTAGTACAAATGAGAAGAACTAGTGTGATAACTAGAAGAGGCATGAAGTTAAGGAAAGGTAGAGAGTCAATTATATGAATGTTTAACTGTGTGTGTTTTTTAATGGGAATAATTTAGTATAGAGGAGAAAGTTCATGTAGGGAAAAAAGAAGGGACTAATGAGAATAAAAATGCTTAAATTTATAGAATAAATATAGCTATAGAGTGAAAACTGAGTGGAATAGCTATTAAATTTATCAGTACTTATAATCTTGAAGACTTGATAGTGCTACATTTTTATCAGAAGTGAAATTCATTCAAACACTGTGTTTAGGGTCTGCTGCTAGGCATTGTAGTAGGCACTATTTTCTGTAGTTGCGTCTTTGAATAGTTCACTCAACTAGCCTTCAGTATAGAAGAAGAAATAAACATATTCCAGATATAGAAAATAATATCAACTGCAAATAGGGCAATGTGACTTCTCTCTCAATTCAGAAAAGACACCAAACAGGTAGTTGCTTCCTGGTTGGAAAGGTAACTTGTGTGAGGGGGTATAGTATTGCCTGAATACTTGCAAGTCCAGTTATGGAATCAGTGTTTGTTTCTCTGTACATTCATTAGTATAGGCATTGTTCAGAAGAAGAAAGATCCTGATTATTTCTGCAGCATGGGAGACTAAAATTAGAATGTAATTACTACCAACAGAGAGATTTTGAAAGCTCTGCTAACTAATTGTGTCTTTCTCAGTGTATGTACATGGATGCAGCTTGCACTTTAAGCATTGGAGGTGGGAGAAGAAATGCCATGGATTTGTCATGTGTTTCTATTAAAAATATACAAATGTTGACCATTTTAATACTGACATGATAACAGCAAAATACACTGATAGGCCACAAAGAATGGCTCGTGGTAGATTTAGTATGCATAGGAATCTGACTCTCTTTGTTAATGTTTATATCTTTAAATAATTGTATTTGAACATGGTCTACATCTATGCAAACAAGATTAATAATGTATTATTACTATGTTGTATATATGAAATCACATGTTTTAGAAATAATTCACTTTCAATCTTAGATTCTTGATTCTATGGCCTTCAATAATCTGTTATTTTCTCCTCTTTTTCTCAATTTTTGGACAGGGAGCTTCTCTCTTGTTGATGCTGAAAACTTACCTTAGTGAAGATGTGTTTCAGCATGCTATCATTCTTTACCTGCACAATCACAGTTATGCATCCATTCAAAACGATGATCTCTGGGACAGCTTTAATGAGGTAAGTAGCCTGGATAATTCAATCCTGTCTACGAACTATAAGGTCCTCTGCTTATATCTATCACACATGTAAATGGTACCGATGATAGTTATTTAAGAAAGAGAAGATAGAGCTTAGCATATAAACATTTGTTATTAAAGTCAAGAAATGAAAATACTGTTTATTGTTGCAAAAAAAAAAAAAAAAGTGATCTGGCCGTGGGTAGCCGTAATTATTCTGTACCATAATCTCCATTCCTTTTGTTGGTTGGATAAGGAAAATTTTTCTTCTCAATATTAATGAATATTACATATTTTTGATACTTGATTTTTTGAAAAAGCTTATTTTCCTATATCTTTTCTAGTTTTTCTATCTTCAGTTAATGGTACTATATGGAGCCTTATGAATCTCTTGTTTTGGGGCCCAGATCCCTCTCAGTAGATGATATATCACAAAATGACTACCCTGAGTTACATACTGTCCTTGAGTTGTTTGTCTCTTTGGATTTTGTTACACTTTCATTGTCTAACAAGCAGTGTAATTAGATAAAAGTTATTCTTCAGAGCAATGGGCGAACCCAGGTGCCTATACACCTATGTTGGCTGCACAATCCTCATAGGTTTCTGGGTTTATTATTCTGATCAAAATTGGTGGTTCTTTGTGTTCTTCAAGGTCACAGATATATCTGAAATCTGATAAAAGTTCTTGTCATTTGCCTCAGAAAACCACATACATGCAGGAAGACATCACACGTAGTTTCGGAGTCTTCTGGATGCTGAGCCAGGAGCCCTTGCTTTGGATGTGTCTCCTTTACTCTTGCTTTGCCCACTCTGAATGGTGGTATTTCCAGTATTAACTTTTTGCCCAGAAGATAGAACTTCCCTACTAAGTTCTGTTTGAGAGAAGGAATTAATTCTTATTACCTAACACTTGCTTCTGTATTATTATTTCCCCAATCATATGTTGGCATTTTAGTTGAGAGTGATCGATACTTGGTTCCCATTCATACATATTGTGACATTTGGAACATATCACTCACTACAAATAATGATGTCCCATCCCAACCTAGTTCCTAAGATTATTCTCGTTTTTTTCAACCTCCATATTAAACTTGTACATTAGTCTCTTCTTTAAAGTTATCAAAATACCTTGCTTTTCTTCCTAGCCTCTGGTCCTGAAATAAATAGGTCAGAGCCATGAGAAAGATAAGATTAATACCTCTATGAAATTGGGGAACATAGTTCCGTACTTTTGTATTTTAAGCAGCCATATAGTAGAGCCTTCCTTAATGATGTAATAATGCAGGTTTTATGATGTTGTGGTGGCTTGAATTTACATCTATGTGTAATCCAGAAAAGTAAGCTGAATCATAAATTTAATCTTCTTGCTTTAAAGAGACCATTTTTTGTAAACCACTTCTTGATCATTGATACCTGATGTCTTGGATGTAGTGAGCCTTATAGGACTAATAACCTGAGACATCAGATTTTAGATTTTGCAGAAAAGGTAATGTATTTTTGGAAAATGAGATCTATGATCATCAAAGAGTTTACAGTCATTCGCTAAAAGACATGGTTAAGGGTCTAGAGTTTTCTGTAGCTTCCACTGACTTAACTTTTTAGCTCTCCCCCAAGACTGGGTCTTTAAAAGATAGACACTGAAAAAGCAGAGTAGGAGAATAAAGAGGAGTATGGACTTGCTGCTTCTCAGGATTGAGTTGCAGTGCTTCCATCCTATAATACTTCTCACTAGTTGTGTCTTTGAAGTGGTAATGCTGTTTCTTGAAAGTGCACTTACATCTTCTATGAATCCATAGAATTAATGTTAAACTCTACTGGTTGGTAGCATACCTGCTGCTTTTCAGAATGGTACTGCTCATGCCTTAAGTAACACTCACTTATATTCCAAGCTAGTTTGTTTTACTTTGCTTGATGAAAAATGTAAACTCAACTCAGCATCAATTCTGTGTGATCTTCATGGAGTACATTAGGGAAAGAGGAAAAGTCACAGGCAAATTAAACTAAAACTTTTAAACTAATTTTATCATTAAGCAAAATTAATTTTTCTTAATTGACTAGGTCACAAACAAAACATTAGATGTAAAGAAAATGATGAAAACCTGGACCCTACAGAAAGGATTCCCATTGGTGACTGTCCAGAGAAAGGGGACCCAGCTCCTTCTACAACAAGAAAGATTTTTTCTAAGCATGCAAGCAGAAATTCAGGCTCCAGATGCCAGGTATCATCCTTCTTTCTTCCCAGCCCATGTCATTTCCACCTTCAGGTATAAGGATTTTAGATGTTTTTATAACCATCATTCTTGTGAAACCTGATGAGGTCTTTCCTCTCTAGAAGGAGTTTGGAAACTTTCGGTTACTGTCACAAACCACCAAGTCCTGAATAACTAACTGAAATATTAGGAAGAGAACTAACTTCCAATGTTTTACTTCTGCAGCTACCTTTGGCATATTCCAATATCCTATGTCACTGATGGAAGAAACTATTCAGAATATCGATCAGTTTCACTACTGGACAAGAAATCAGGTGTGACAATAGTTAATACCTTTCTGATAAAAAAATTACTAATAATGTAACTTTAAAAATTTGACCATAGGGCAAATAATAGATTGCATTTTGCAGTGTGTACATTCTCTAATCTAGTGTCATAAATAATTAACATTTGACTACAATAAGACTGACTCTTTATATGTATAGAATTGGCTTTTAGTTGTAAGAAATAAGACTAAGAAATTGTAGAGAATATCTTGGCAGTGTTTTATTTTTAGGTCCTGGATAAATATTTTATGTTTTAAAATAAGTAAAAGAACCAAAGCACTTGCTTAAAGTGTTGTTATCTACTTTCAAGGGATAGCCTGGGCCAGTGCATTTTAACAAGCATTTTATAGATTATTTATATGCATAATAAAGGTTGATTTATGACCTAGATTTATGGTAAATGCTTATTGTAACATATCCTGTAGACATGTATGTAGCTGGACTTTCATTTGACCACCAGCTCCCAAATAATGACACTGAGACTTCTTATTAATTATGAAAGCTTAGCCTTAGCTTAGGCTTGTTCCCAACTAGCTCTTAAAACTTAAATTAACCTGTTTATATTAATCTGTGCCCTGCCACATGGCTCGTTACCTCTCCTCAGTAAAGTATGTCCAACTTCCTCTGTGTCTCCTGGCAAATTTTCTGGCTCTCAGATTCTCCACTTCCCTGCAGTTTCTCTCTCTCTCTCTGGAAGTCCTACGTGTCCTCTCCTGCCTCGCTATTGGACATTCAGCTCTTTATTAAACCAATCAGAAGATGCCTTAGCAGAGACATATCTTCATAGTGTACAAAAAGATTATCCCACAAAACATGTGCATTTTTTAAAAATGAAAAACAAACAAGGAACTATCATAACAAGAAGATAATAAATCAATGATACAGGCTGAATATCCCTAATTGAGTTTCATTACAACATTCAAAATATTTCCTATTTTTAGATCAAAAATGGTTTCAGATATCCAGGTTAAGAATGTTCTACTAGTAAAATCTGTGCAAATGGTAGAAAATATACAATGCTCCCAGATTTGAAATACTTCTGGTCCCAGGCTTTTCAGACAAGGGACAATTAGTCTGTATATGTTTACCCATAAGCTGTCCATAAAAAAACTATTGAAGTATAATTTCTGACCATTTGTGAAATATATCTGTGATACCTACACATATATTATTTATATTTACATCCCAAAAGAACATAAGACTATTGTTGGGTATTGTTGGGTTCTGTGAGAATCAGCCATGAATACTTTAGATTTATGAAAAAGGGAAGGTTCTTGATTAGATTTGGGTCTGTTTTCAAATCTACATTTTTGATAGGTCAGTGAAGCCTAATTGCCTGGTTCACACCATGGCTCTCCCATTTACCACTTAACTGGATTTTAGAAGAGGTATTTGACTGTGAGCCTACTCTAAAATAGGATTGTGATAAGGATTTTTAGAGTTTATTTATATAGAGCACCTTAAATAATATCTGGCATGTGCTAAGTCCGTGTTAGACAACATTGCTAATGCCCTTACTAAAGAACCTTTAAGGCAAGTGTATCCACATTACATAGACTATGGAAACAGTCTTCTAACACTATCATAAGTTCTCTTGTGCTTTCTTTATCATTTTTAAAATTTTTACTTGAAATCATGTACACATGATTTCCATATCTTGCCTTTAAAAGCATATACATGGTAATTGACAGTCTTTCATTTTTTTATACCCATGATTCATCATTGTCTTTATTAAAAATATTCCCTAATAAAAATATCAGATGTTAAGATTCCCCCCCCCATTTTGTCTTTTTTTTTTCCTTTTTATCAGTGCATCTCAAAATTGAAGATTATTACCTTTTGTGATTGGGTACTGAAAACTAAGTCACTCTTCTGTATTGTATGATATCAGTGGAAGCTGTCAGCTTCAGTATATAAATGTGCCATTTCATTGCAGCTTTACCACACACTGCAGAAGAGTCACAGTAGCTACATAACAGTCTCACGATTTAAAGCCCTGGGAGCAAGAAAGTAATTCCACCATCTCTTTGATTAATGTGTGAAAAAGTGCTGCCTTCCCTGGTGAAACAGAACTCTAAACATTAGAGTTCCTAAAGGGGTACTCTGACTCAAGGAAGAAGATTACCCTTCCCTTCTGTGCATCCAGCAGTATAGTGTAGGCAGAGTTTTCTCAATTAACCATAGCCACTTCCCAAATTACCACACAGGGGCTTAATATTATTTATAAATGATCAGCTAATAGCTCAGGCTTGTTACTGGCTAGCTCTTACACTTAAATTAACCCATGTTTCTTATCTATGCTTTGCCATGTGGTTCATGGCTTGTTACCTCATTTTCTATATGTCCTGCTTGCTCGGCAGCTGGCTGATGTCCCTCCTGACTCTGCTCTTCCTCCTCCCAGAGTCCTCTGTGTCTGGCTGTCCTGCCTATACTGGCTACCAACTGGCCTATCAGCTTTTATTAACCAATGAGAGTAATACATATTCACAGTATACAGAAGGGTTATTCCACAGCAGTATAGTCTAAATACAATAGATCATTTAAAAAGAGCCAGTAAGGAAATTTGCAGACTTCCTAATAGTATTTAATTTTTACTGGTATTAGAAATAGACAATAAGAAATTTGCTTCTGTCTGTTCTTTAAAAAGCTCTGTTTATATGAGAGTGTGGTACACTATATTTGAGATTCATGCTGAATAAAACAGCTCCAATTTCCCTACTTATTCCTTACACTAGTCAACTCTTTGTTACTGTAACAGAATAACATAATTTAAAGTGGGGAGAGATTTAGATCAGCTCACAGTTTCTCAGGTTTTAGTTCCTGGCTCTGGGAGATGGGAAGGAGAAGAAAAGAAAAGACTCATAGTAAAAGGGAATATACAAAAAGGAATATAATTGTTGAATCTGAGGCTGGAACTGGCCCAATTTGACGTAAGCAGCATGTGCTCTTAATAACTATGTAGTTCTCTGGTGGCTGTTGCTGCTTTTATTTCTGGCAGCTTAGATTTAAGACTGCATGTTGAAAACACTCTGCTCTTATATGAAAACGTTTGACCCTAAGGACAGTTGGATCTCCTTGGCTCCTGATACCCTAATAGTAATTTCTCTCAACTTAGTTGCATTTTATTTTTTTTTTCTATCCTCAAAATGTAGCAGAGAAAATGACTTTAGGCTTATTTTATTTCATACATTGCTGCACTATAGGATCCTCTTTGGTTGCTTAAGTCTACAGTAGGGCTTTGGGCTTAGCTTGCTGATTCAATCATGTGTAATAGTTATATTCAGTTAGTATCTTTGTCACCCTTTCCCATACACATTATTTTTGAATAATTGTTGTGCATAATAGCAAAGGGGATCATTCTTCAGGTTATACTAAAATTTTCTACCTTGCCCTTCCTACCTTTCTGTTATCTATTTTTTCAAACCTAATGTCTTTAACTGTAGGAGATACTTAATTTTAACTAGAACTGTTATGTTTCTGAAAAAGTGTATCGTCATACCAGAAATATTGCTATGAAACTAAAAGATGTATCATTGGAAGGAAAAGCAATTAGAAAGAAAAAGAAGGGGAGGTGATTTACTACCATATCTTCATGTGCTGTTATCTGGTCTGTTTTCCTACTTAATATGATAAAGAGTAAAGGAAGTGATACAAGAAAGGGAGGGCTTTTTGCATGGAGTGCATTTAAATTGGGTACTGTGGTAACCTCTGGAACAGACTCGATGTCATATTTTCCAATTTTCTAATGTATTTTTTTGTTTCAGGACTTCAATATTTCTTTATAAAACAGTAGTTGATTTTCATAGCTTATTGACAAATGGTTTTTTAAAATCACAATTCGATTACTTTGTCTGGGTTTTTGCCATTTAATATTAAATTGCTCACTCTTTACTTTACAATAGACTGTGAAAACTGAACTGCTAATCTGTTAATGATTATAATAAATTAAAAATATATGAGTCGTCTCATCTCATCTACATTTGAGCTGGCAACCAGTTAGGTCCCTTATGTATAAAGTGATTATTTTTTGATAGCTATGCTATTGAGGTCCTGCATCCTAGTTCACTCAGAAGACATGAAAGGTACTACTATGCTGTTCTTTAAATGATAATTCTTCTCTGTTCTTCTGCTGTTGGCTGTGTTGCTTATGTTCTGGCAACTTAATGACAGTAATAATTTGAAATATACTCCTAGCTTCATTCCTTCACTCTACCATCTGGAGTTGGCCACGTTTGTAGTGTAGCACGTGCTCATCAGTGAAAGTAATCATTATTTTGCCATTTCCTGAACCTATCCAATGAAACAGTTGCCATGCTTGTCATTTATTTTTAGGTCAGCAGAGATGGGACTGTGTAGTCCTCCTTCTTTCAGAGAGTTTGTCTTTGAAAGCTCCATAGGACATTATGGAGCTTGCTAATCCAAATGGAAAATATTGGTACTTTTGGGGTTAGATAATTATACAATCATTCCCACCATTTATAAGCTTGTTTTTCCTAACCTGGAACCATGACTTTTTCCATCACAAATACTTCCCAGAACTCCATACTTCTCTGGAAAAAGAAATGAATTTATTTCATCTAACATATCTTTCCCATCTGTTATTATATTAATAATAAAACAGAAATTAATATTGAATCTTTTAATGAAAAAGACTGACAATTCTAGTAAGACATAATTAGAAACATTTCCATCTTCATAACATCCAAAATGTCAGTGAGATTAGAGTAATAAAAGGAATCAAATAAATTTCAATAATTCATGCTTTTGAGCTTGACAAACTATAAATAAAACTTCAAGTACTAATATATCTTTCATTTTAGAATATGTTTCTAAAGCACTTTGTATAAAAATAATTCACTATACAAGTATCATGATAGGGAAAAATTTTAAATGATGTTTTAAAATAGGAGATTGACTAGAGTAGAACAAGTCCTGAAATGGAAAGTTGGATATTTGAACATTGCATATGAAGACAATGGAAGTGAAGGGGTGGGAGAAGTCTTCAAGGTAAAGATACAGGATGATCATCAATACATGTAGGACAACTGTAGGAAATACTACATTAATTAAAACAAGTATAGGAAAATAAATATGCTCCACTATAGTATCATTTGTTTTAGATTAGTTTACTTCTTTTTTACTGATAACTGGGGAGCCAGCCTCCAATCAGCACCAAGATATGTAAAAAAAAAAAAAAAAAATCCACAAATGCAGTGAGGGCTTAGGAAAAATTCTTATCTGAGGGTTAGACTTTTTCTGAGCGGTAAATAAGGAAACACCTTTTTTGATGGTAACTTTCTCTTTTACTTCATCTTGAAAAAACCTTCTATTTGAAAATTTCTCTTGCTCTCTCTTCTAACTAGCTACTCATCTTTTCTCCTCTGCTCCCTCAGTACACCCTGCTCTTTATACAACAGCCCTCCACATAGCTCTACCCAGCCTTCCACATTGCTTTACCCAGCCCTCCACATAGCTCTACCCAGCCCTCCACATAGCTCTACCCAGCCCTCTACATAGCTCTACCCAGCCCTCCACATAGCTCTACCCAGCCCTCCACATAGCTCTACCCAGCCCTCTACATAGCTCTACCCAACCCTCCACATAGCTGTACCCAGCCCTCCACATAGCTCTACCCAGCCCTCTACATAGCTCTACCCAGCCCTCTACATAGCTCTACCCAGCCCTCCACATAGCTCTACCCAGCTCTCTACATAGCTCTACCCAGCCCTCTACATAGGTCTACCCAGCCTTCCACATAGCTCTACCCAGCCCCCTCTCACAGCCAAACTCTGGACAATTATATGTTACATTTTCAGGGCCTGACCCATTCTCATAACACAAGATAAGTCACATAGTCTCTCTTAGGCTGGGGATGTCACACTGACTGGCCATTGAGTAATGCTTGGCCATGCACGCAGCTCTTTCTGTAGGCAGAAAGTGTCATTGAAATTGAAGACTTAAAAGTAACAGCTGAACCTTGAGTGGTAGGGAATATGTGAAGAAAGTCCATTACTTCAGGGGGTTATGTCTACCAAAGTTGCTTCAAGTCTGACCCTGAATCAGCAATAAACACCTCGGAGTTTGTCATTGTATGTTTGTCTCCAGGGGCAATCAGTTTGCTTTGAATTTGTTCTGAAGTCTAAAATTAGCTGTCTTTGTGACTGAGAATACTATTACTTTCCTATGTCAGTCTGAATAATGAAAAATATCCTAGTATTTCTCTTCATCAAAATTATATAGCTTAAACAGAAATTATCTTCCGGATCATCCACAGCTATATGTGTCCCCAAAAGATGGAATATATACATGAGATAAAGATACAAGCAGTGGGAAAACACCCATAGTAGTTCTTAGGAAAGAAATGAAGTGGCACATGAGAAGAATTACAGACACAGGCAACTGGTTTTCAGAGTCTGTGGTCCTGTAGGCCTTGCTTGACAGGATTGTCTACATCATCTGGTGGGTTGACACCTGAATTATCAATTGCCCTGTGCTGTATACTCCCACAGCCTCCAGCACTACTATATTTATAATTAAAAAAGGATATACTTTTAAGATCAGAAGATAATATATCATTCAGACTTTAATGTAGTTTAAAACTGTTTGTAATGACTTTAGTCATTATTTATTTTTTCATTTGGTAAGGATTTGTACCTCGCTGTATCAGCTGAGAAGTTAGAGGTGAAGGTTCAGTGAGCACATAGGGCTTTTGTTCTAACAAATCATCATCTCAAGGTCTTTCCAAGCATGACTCTCCTGCTGCACCTACATCCTATTGTCAACTTTTAAAAACGTTTTATTAGTAATTTTAAGCATATTGAAAATTCTCCAGTATATTTTGTAGTCAGTTCCTTGTTTGCACATTCTCTTCCCCCAAAAAAATCCATAGGTGTTTTTAACAGTTCTCTCAAAAACACACACACACATGTATGTATATATGTGTTTAAAAAAAGTACTTGGCACTATAATGTTATTTTAACTCAGCTATTTCTTAACTTGTGCCTAGTAAAACCTTAAGCGTTTCCTAATGTTTATTTTCATAGCCTTGAAGTATTTTCTAAATGACTTTGTTTTTTTCTTTACTAGTGGTAAAAGACAAAAGTTGAGATGGGACCTATTTTGTATAGTGCACCCACTATTTTAGCTGCTGCTCCACTCTGCACATCATCCCCTCCCCCCCATTTCTCTCCCATGCTAAGGCTTGTGTATTCTGAAGTCACTTAAAAGAATGACATCTTAGACATCCTTTATTTCATGAAGCCTCTCCAGACCCTTCAGAGTGAAATATTTCTGTGTGCTTCCATGGAATGGTATGTTTTCTTTTTCCACCAGTGACACTTATGTAATATTGTATCTAGGTGTTTTTATTAGACCATAAAAACAGGTCTCTCTGCTCTCTTCATCATTTGATCTCCAGTGCCTATCCTCAAGCTAATAATGTATGATGAATAAATAATGTTTAAATAAGTGAGCAGCAAACTTCATTAACGTGAAACATACTGTACCAGCACACAGGCATTTAGTTTCTTAAAAGAATTATGAATGTGAAAACATGCCTTGTTAACTTTGAAAAAAATGAAGCCCCCTACTATCTTCTCTCTTGTTTTAATTTTTCCTCTCTTTTAGATATCATCAATCTTACAGAACAAGTACAGTGGGTCAAAGTCAATACAAACATGACTGGCTATTACATTGTTCACTATGCTGATGATGACTGGGCAGCTCTAATCAATCAGTTAAAGAGAGATCCTTATGTTTTGAGTGACAAAGATCGAGCCAACCTCATAAATAACATCTTTGAACTTGCAGGGTAAAGTATGCTTGATTTACATCATTATTGTCATTTTTAAAGATGTTATTGCAGTAAAGAACAATTCAGAAAATAGTTTGAAATAACAAGTATATATTGACTATTGGGTACATTTTTAGAGGATTTAGAAAATGTAAGGCATGTTCATGGCTTTCAGAGATTTTATAATGCATTAGAAACATCAGCTATAAACACATTGAATAAATAGTATAAAACAGGATCAACTAGGAGTTCAAGAATAGATACCAACAAGCAGGATATATTTTATTCAGTAAAAATATTGTAGGAATTCAAACTTCAAATTATTCCATGAGAGAATTATCTTCAAGAAGTAGTTGGATTCTGCCTAAAGCTAATTGCTAATCTATTGGTTGAATAGCATCCCTAGTGACTGGAGCATCCTTATATGTGTGTAGCTTGCCTCCCCAGCCACCTTGTACATTATAGAAACCCAAAACCAAGAATGGTAATAGTCTTTTGTAAAGGTATCTTTTGAATAGTTTACAAATTTAGATTGATTCTAGGTCTAGAAACGCAAAGAATACCCATCATTATTACTTTCTATTTTTGACATGTGTTTTAAATATGAAGTAGCCTTATGTCCTTTCAACCATTAGTGCTATAACTTCTACAAACTGCCCAGTGTGTTTGTTTGTTTGTTTGTTTGAGACAAAGATGTCATTGTGTAGCCTTGGCTGGCCTGGAACTGGCTATATAGACCAGGTTGGCTTCAGTCTCACAGAGATCCACCTCTCTTCCTCTTGAGTGTTAGGATTAAAGGCATGCAACACCCCACGCAGCCTAATGGCTTAGTTTTTAAAAGGTACTCACTGTAAACTCACCTTGGACCTTGTCTCAACAAATGTGTCAGACTGATTATAGCAAGAAATAAAATTTGTCTGTTTTCTGATTCAGAGTATCTGATTCTGATACTCTGAATCAGATACTGATTCAGATAGAGAGTATGCCACTCCCAATCATGTGGTAAATAGAAGTAATTAGTAAGTAAAATCAATAGTAGTCGTCTTTTCCAAGACAGCATGATGCTTTTACTGAGTCAATGGCAAATAATAGATGACTTCTGGATCTAAAAGTGAGCTGTTGTATATCTTTATGTTAAAATACATCTTTACCTGTGAGCCACTTAAATATAATTACATGAGTCTAACTTTGCTTAATGTTACTGTAAACTTAAGTTTCTTGTCTGCAGAACTCACTGGCTCACTGTAAAGTTTCCCTCCATGTACATAAAGTTATATGTGTCTCAGCAAATTTACATTCCCTATTCATTTATTCTTTAGCCTTGGCAAAGTGCCTCTTCGGATGGCATTTGATTTGATTGATTATCTTAGAAATGAGACCCATACTGCACCCATCACTGAAGCCCTGTTCCAGACGGGCCTTATCTATAACCTCTTGGAAAAACTAGGACACATGGACCTGGCCTCAAGATTGGTGGTAAGTCTTCCTTTTTTCATTTTTTCTTGTGGCCTACATTTAATGCTGTTATTCACAATTCTATTCACCTCTTAACATGCCTTAAACAAACAAACAAACAAACAGTTATATTGCAATTTCTTTATTTTGCTAGTTGTAGAAATCTCCACTCTGGATCAAAATGTCAACACTTACCATGAAGAGTTGGCGATGTTTTGTTTTTTGGTTTTTTTTTTGGGTTTTTTTTCTTCTTCTTCTTTTTAAATGCCCTACAGGCTTGCCTGCAGTCAGATTTTTTTTTTTTTAAGATTTATTTATTTATTATGTATACAACATTCTGCCTCCATGTATGCCTGAATGCCAGAAGAGGGCACCAGATGGCTGTGAGCCACCATGTAATTGCTGGGAATTGAACTCAGGACCTCTGGAAGAGCAGCTAGTGCTCTTAACCCCTGAGCCATCTCTGAACCCGGGTCCTCTGAAAGAGCAGCCAGTGTTCCTAACCTCTGAGCCATCTTTCCAGCTCTGACCCCTAGTTGGTAAAGCTTTTATGTGAAATAGTATTGTTTGAATATCAAAATTCAGACATTTGACACTATCAAATGGAACCATCTAAAAGGAAAATATCTCTGGGAATCCTCTTTTGTTTTTACACACACCATTAAAATAAGGTCTTTTAAAAAATAGATGTCCTGGGGCTGGAGAGATGGCTCAGAGGTTAAGAGCACTGGCTGTTCTTCCAGAGGTCCTGAGTTCAATTCCCAGCAACCACATGGTGGTTCACAACCATCTATAATGGGATCTGGTGCCCTCTTCTGGCCTGCAGGCTGAACACTCACTGTATACATAATAAATAAATAAATCTTTTAAAAAAAGAAAAGAAAATAGATATCTTATTAATTTGCGAGTGGCCTTTATAAAATGTAGTATGTTTGTACTGAAAATAACCTGCTTAAGAGTTGTTGCTGACTACTCTCCCATGAGTAATGATGCTAGTAGGTAGCAATGACTGTACAAGCTCTTAAAAGAATGTTAGACTTAGTAAAAGACTTCACCTTAAAACCAGTCTCCTAATCTTCAGCTGTTACTTTTGATACTTCAACAATAACTAAGGTAATATATTAGTTCCCTAGGATTGCCTTAATGTATTACTACAAACTTGATGTACAGAAATAGTGGGAATTTATTTATTATGCCTCTGGAGGCCAGAAGTAAGGTGTTGGCAGGTATGATGTCTTGTAAGGATAATCTACTGACTACCTGCTCTTCCCTTAGCTTTAAGGGAGTGCTAGCAGTCCTTGGCATTCCTTGCTTAAATCTGCATCACTCTTCTCCTGTCTCTGTTGACAAGGCACTGTGCTGTGTTTCTGTGCCCCAGTTTGCCAGTTGTCATAGATATACCACCCCTTAGGTTAGAGCCCATAGTAACACTGTATAGCTTCATTTTCACTTGGTTATATCTACAGAGACACTGTTCCCAATAATGTTATGTGAATTGAGTGAAGGTACACTACTCAGTGTGGTATCAGTAGTAGCAGACAAGACTAGTGCACATCACTCATTTTTACCACTCTTGAAGGGCACTGATTTGAAGGGTTTGAAAAATACTCTAAAGGGAGGCAGAATGTCTGCCTATTTTAAAGCTATCTGGCTAGTTAGTTTCATGGTAGCAGAAGCCCTTCTTCCATGCATCTTTTCCCATTCTATTTAAGATTAGTCTTGGGAATCACTTGGTAATTATCTCAAGCTATCCTTTGTTGAAATTGCAAATTGGGTCTTTGGAATATTTTCTTGTTGGTGTTCAACTGACCTGTTTCATGTTGCATCTTCATCCTCTATCGTTTCAGGTGTTTGTTTGGAACATATTATAGAGTAGGATTCAGGGAACTGATGAGTAAAGGGCAAAGATGGGAGGCTTAGTGTCTCTTTCTAAGACTTGGACCCTGTTAATGCTATAACACCTTAAATTTGTAGTTAAATACCAAGTTGGCTTTAGTTCATAACAGAAGTAAACATTAAAATTCTTGTTTATTCTTAGGGGATTTAGATAGCTTCAAAACTTTCAAACTGTGAAACCACTTTGTAGTTAGGAAGTAGGATGGCAGACATTCCAAACCTTTGAGTTCAATATTCAAGTGTATTAATCAAATATCTGATTAATACTTAATGTCATTATAACCAGAACACTATATATATTAATTTGTCATTTTGTTATGAAAGCTATACGTGATGTATACAGTATTCTGTGGAATATACTGTGGTGTGGTGGGTAGGATCTGGAGGTACATTTGAATTGTGTTAAATTGTTAACACCTGAAGTTGATGTCTGGTTTTAGCCATATTCCTGTTTTATAACTTACAAATCTGCCATTCTCTTACATATGAACCATTGGTGGGATAAACCTTGGCAATAAAACTGACAGTTCACTTTTAAAAACCTTGTTAACTTAGGAAAGAACGTCCCTGAGTGTATTAATGTAAAATTAAAGCAGTAAATCAAAATGTAATGTATACCAAGTGTCAGCATCTTTTCCTGTTTTATTCTTAAAATAATTTTGTCACTGTTGTTGCATCTTATTGCATATACAGTGTTGGTAGCTTATGTGACACATCTCTTTATTCCTTCCTCTTCTTGCCATTTTTTATGAAATTAGTGTTAGATCATGTTGTTTGGTTACCTTAACTTCAAAAGGTTAATTTAGAAACCATATGAAAAGTATACTTCATTTTATAAGAGAAAAAGGCAACTTGAGGCACCTGCTATGCTCTTACTAATATAAATAATATTGAAAACATAACTTGAGTCACTTATTTAAATAGTCACATTTAAAACAGAGGATTTTTATGAAAATAGAATGATGTTAGTAAAATATTTATCATATTTTCAAATATACTTAAAATATTTTGGGAATCTCTCTTAATCATTTGGTATAAGGAGACTAACAGAATCATGCTCTCTGATCGTGCGGTGTGAGTGCCGAGAGCTTAGTCTAAGCATCTTCAAGTGTCCGCTTTCTCTGCTCTAGTGCTTCAAAGTGCCATTTCTACTTGTGTTGCTGTGTCTCTCCACTGAGGTTTTTGAAGATAGGATTCTAAGCTGCAACTTTCCCACACATTATTTCCTTATTACTGATTATAAGTACCTTTAAATGTTCTTTGTTTCTCCATTCATTTGGGACAAAAGCAGCAGGCTTAGGGCCTGTGTCTACAGTCAGGGATAGTGCTGTCTTTATGTTATTGAATGGGTCAGTCAGTTGAAGATAGCAGGTACCAATACAGTCTCATGAGCCAATAGGAATGTCCTGCATTGACAGCTAGCATGTCGAGTATCTTCTGGTTCCATGCTCTCCCAGTAGCTCTCAAGCTCTACCACCTCAAACATGCCACAAGGTATCTAGTCTCTATTTCATTGTCTTCAAACAAACAAAGACAAGTTGATGTGTGATCACAAGCTTTGAGAATTTCTTGTACCAATTCTTCTTGGCTTTAGGATGGACAGTGTTCTTCAAGAAGTGCATAATTTTTTGAAAGAACTTAAGCTGAATTTCGGGAATTAAACTGTTTTTTCATAACTCATCTGTGATACTCTATTATTGGGGTGAGGTAGTGTCTAACTAAGGGTTTCTTGTTATGATGAAACACAACCAAAAGCAACTTGAGAGAAAGTGTTTTTTGCTTACACTTCCAGGTAATAGGCCATCATTGAGGAAAATCTGAAACTCAGATAGTTCAGGAACCTGGAGGCAGGAGCTAATGCAGAGGCCATGGAGTGCTGCTTACTGGCTTGCTTCTCATGGCTTGCTCAGCCTGTTTTCTTATAGCACCCAGAACCAACCAGCCACCCACAGTGGGGTGAGCTCTCATCACTAATTAAGAAAATGCCCTACTAGCCTGCCTACAGCCAGATCTTATGGGGACAGTTTCTCAGGTTCTATCCTCTCAGATAACTATAGTTTATGTCAAGTTGATATAAAAGTTGCCAACACAGGAAGGATGGTGGTCATGATGGTAAAGAACTCGCTGGTGCCAAGATACTGAGGAAAAGGAACATCTGTTGTTTTTTTAAAAAATTTGATCCTCCTTATTTATAGCTTGAAGATATTCTTTACAGAGAAAAAAAGCAATTAAGCATTTTATATGAGAGTTTTAACTCTCTAGGATTTTCTGGGTACATATTTCTTACAGTATTGTTAAACCTTGTGTACCTTTTCCCTCCATGGTGCACAATAACTTGTAACATGGAAGGACTTCCACATATTGAATAGCTTTTATGCTTCTGCAGAGGAAAGAGATGAAAAGGGGGTTGCTGATTCCATGATACACATGTATTTGACAACAGCTTCTCATTCAGAAGTAACTGTAACAATGAGTTGGATAGAATAGCAGATGATATTGAATAATTGTCCTTAAGGTATTTTGATCACATGTAAACTAAGTATATATAAATGAAATTTCATGGTATCTATAATTTACAAGCAATTCAACTGAAATGAAAAAAAGTATATACATATTATGTATGCAAAAATGAAGAATTAGAAACTGATAAATCTAGATGAATAACATTTGGATGTGCACTATACATCTATTTTTGCATTTTTCTGTAGCTTTGACGTTTTTACATTAAAAATGGGGATATAGATTATACTATTCCCTAGAGACCTCATTTTCTTTTAAATTTTGGTAGGTTAATTTTCTATGACCTCAAATTAAATGGTATGTTAAATACACTTTTTTTTTTTTTTTTTGGTTTTTCGAGACAGGGTTTCTCTGTGTAGCTTTGCGCCTTTCCTGGAACTCACTTGGTAGACCAGGCTGGCCTTGAACTCACAGAGATTCACCTGCCTCTGCCTCCCGAGTGCTGGGATTAAAGGCGTGCACCACCACCGCCCGGCCTAAATACACTTTTTTTTTTTTTTTTTTTTTTTGGTTTTTTCGAGATAGGGTTTCTCTGTGTAGCTTTGCGCCTTTCCTGGAACTCGCTTTGGAGACCAGGCTGGCCTCGAACTCACAGAGATCCGCCTGGCTCTGCCTCCCGAGTGCTGGGTAAATACACTTTTAATAATGGATTTGAAACTATTTAAACATTAAATCATTGGTAAAGAAATGTATTTTAGCAGAACATGGTGACATATTCTTGTAGTCTCAGCAAGAGAATTGTGCATTCAAGGCCACCCTGGGCTATATAGTTAGATTGGGGGTGGAGGGGAAGCCAATAAGTAGTAATAGTGGTGTATTCTTTCTTTTCTTTATGGATTTGCCAATTCAAAAGTCATCAGGTAAAGAGATTCCAGCAGTTATGGATGATGTTTTAGGCAGGAAGGTAGCTTTTAGCCAAGTACACACAGAAAAAAGGTTCTCTGTAGTGAAGACACCATCAACTCTTCCTGAGTTGAGTTGTAGCATTCTAAGTCCTACTTGTCTGTAGCTTTATTATTGAGTAGTTTTATATCAGCTAAATGTGGGCTTTATGTGTCAATTAATAGTTAATAAGTAATATTTTGTAATTTTTCTTTATTGGGTAAATCTTGGAGAAAAGATACATAGTTGTACTGATTTCCTGATTGATTGATTGAATTATTAATACCATTATAATTATATTTCATCTCTGTAGACCAGAGTATATAAATTGCTCCAGAACCAAATCCAGCAACAGACTTGGACTGATGAGGGAATGCCATCCATGCGAGAGCTTCGGTCAGCCTTGCTGGAATTTGCCTGTGCCCACAGACTAGAGAACTGTACCACTATGGCCACAAAGCTTTTTGACAATTGGATGGCATCAAATGGAACTCAGAGGTGAAGTGCACATCTACTTGAATGGGTCTTCCCATTCATTATTTCCTAAAGAAGGGAGGAATGATAGTCCACTGTATGCATGTGCGGTATTTAATACATTTTTCTCATGAAATTTGAATTGCTTCTACTTCTTGACATTGTAAATATTACTGCCATGAATTTGAGCATACAATTATCTTTTGCAAATCTGATTTAAATTCTTTTGGTATATATCCAAAAGTGGTATTGCTGGATCATAGAGAATTTATCATTTGTTTTGTTTTACCATATGTATATATATGTGTTTGTGTGAGTACCCATGTGTAGGGAGGCCAGAAAACAATCTTCAGTGTCAAATCCTCAGAAATGCTGTTTTTTGAGATAGTGGCTTCCATTGGCCTGGAGCCCACTGAATAATCTAGATTGGCTGACTAAAGAGCCCCTGGGATCTGCCTGTTTCTGTCTCCTGAATGTTGGGATTTCAAGTATATTCCAACCCCTTGGCTTTATTATGTGGGTTCTAGAGATCAGACTCAAGTACTTATGTTTGCTTGGCAAGCACTGTATTGATTGAACTATTATCCCTAGCATTCCATTTTTAATATTTAAGGACTTTCATGATATCATGTTTCCCTTAGTAATTGTGAGATTTTATGTTTCCACCAACAGAGTATAAACATTCCAGTTTTTTACAACCTTGCTAACACATGTTTACTGGTTTTGTTTGGTGGGTTTGGTTTTGAGATGGGGTCTCACTGTGTAGCCCTGGTTGGCCTACCTCTGCCTCCTGAGTGCTGACATTAAAACGAGCACTTCCATATATGGCTTAGTTTTTTGCTTTGTTTTGTTTGTATTTAAAACTTTTTTTCCCCCTGTGGTGCTGAGGATCTAACTCATGGTCTCACACTTGCTGGACAAATGCTCTATCACTGATCTCTACCCACCTATCTCCATCTCCCCAGCACTGGACTCACAAGTACATGCCCTATACCCAGTTCTATTATACACTTGGGTGCTAGTTACTGAGCTCAGGTTCTCTTGCTTGTGTGGCAAGTACTTTAAATGATAGAACTATCTCCACAACCCCAATTTTCTGGGTTTTGATAACAGATATTTCTCAGAGTATGATAGATGTCTCCTTTAATTTAGAAGTGAAATGACTGGTGGGGTGATCAGTTAGGAGAAATGCTCTGGAATGTGATTAATTCTTTCTAGGTTCCTTATTGAAAATTTTGGAGCAGTGATTAAAATATGATTTGGAAAGTTGAAACAGGGAGTTTGAATAAGGTTCTGAAATCTTTCCTATCTCTGAGATCTTAGTAAAGACCCTGCCTCCAAACATGCATTTACTGTTCTATTTATAACATGAAACTTAGCACACTGTATTATAATGCATATAGTTATTGTGTATACTTTGGGATAGCCCATGAACTCCTACAGAGAAAGGGGTGTGTCTCATTCCTTCCTCTATCCCTCCCCAGTATGCAAACATGTGTCTTCTCAGTAAATAATTATTATTCAACTTATGTTCTTTAAAGTCATAACTGTAGGAAAGTAGCAATCATTGAATTAACTTCTTGAAGATTTACAATTATTATTTAACCTGAACCTAGAAACACAACCAGTCAACTCTTTGCCTTTGTAGTCAGATGTTTCTCCTTGTTATTCTCATGTTTCACTATCTCTTTTGTAGCCTGCCTACTGATGTCATGATCACTGTGTTCAAAGTTGGAGCGAGAACCGAGAAAGGCTGGTCATTCCTCTTAAGCATGTATTCATCCATGGGCTGTGAAGCAGAAAAGAATAAAATACTTGAAGCTCTTGCCAGCTCAGAGGATGTGCAGAAACTTTACTGGTATGGAACCATTCAAAGAACATGATACAAAGAAACCAAAAGATAAAAGCACATTGCTCTTTAGGACAGGAGCCTATTTTCTCTTGAGTTCTCACTTTTTCATTAACCTGACTTGGACAGGGTTGTGAGGAGTTTGCATGAACTAGACTTCATCTTGGTGATTGAACCTTAACAGATGGTGCAGAATACACTTTGTTTGAGAGATTTGGAGATATTAATACTCATAACCCCATCTGTGTCCTGCTGGGAAATGTTGTCCTCCCCTGGCATGATGTGCTAAACCTGCTGGTACTATATATTAATCTGTTCATGTTGTCACTTTGAAAATGTAAACACTTCAGAAAAAGAACTATAGAAGTGTATATATTCTATCTTCCCATGAATTTATTGCTCATACTTCTTAATGTCTAACTACCTGGCCTAGAAATGGGAGCTTCATGTGGGTAAAAGAAAGGCAGTATGAACTGGCAGAGAGAACAGGAAGAGACAGAGTTAAAGGCTCAGTGTCCAAGGGGAATTTAAAGGTACATGCACTTTAGGACATAGACACTGAAAGCCATACCAGGGATAGAGGGAGCATCTTAGCTTCATTGCTTCTCTTACATAAGTTCATTCAGCTAAATCATACCAGTGTCCCAGAAATATCCCTGGCCCCTGCCCAGACCTACTTTTTAAATTATACTCTGTAAATAAGCATTATCTTTAAAGCAAAGGCTAACCTCTGACCTATAAACTCCCATTATAAATATACAGACAGCACCTGAGCATAGAGAGTAAAATGAAAATATTTCTTAGGCCTCTTCACTTTGTACTATTTTTCTTTGTCTTTTAGTCGTATCAGCTAAGTCTGTGTGTTTACATCAGAAATATACAGGCTAAGTATTCCTGACCTGAAAAACCAGAAAATGTACTAGTTTCCAAAATTGTAGTAAGTTGCAGAAGTTTTTCTTGATATATCGTAAATCATTATGTAATAACATGAATATGTGTATCATGATGAGTCAAATAATTGACAGGTTTTAACTTGTGTACTAAACTAATCTTAGCCTAATCCAATCTGATTTATCGTGAATTAATAAAGAGTTTATATTGGAACCCAGTGCTAATACAAGTTTGGTCATCACTTCAAAAACAATTATTTTGAAGGCTAAATCTGTTTTCTTCTTCAGGTTAATGAAAAGTAGCCTTGATGGTGATATCATCCGAACACAGAAGTTGTCGCTTATCATCAGAACAGTGGGCAGACACTTTCCTGGACACTTGCTGGCATGGGATTTTGTTAAAGAAAACTGGAATAAGCTTGTACATAAGTAAGTTTCCTGGAGAATGACTGAATTTCATATCCTGAGGCAGTACATTTGCAAAAGGCTCCCTGGGTAATGATGTGTCCTAAGTGCGGAAGCACCTTTTTTTTTCTTTTTAAAGAATCAAATCTTTTTTTAAATTTATTTATTTTTATTTTATGTGCATTGGTGTTTTGCCTGCATATATGTCTGTGTGAGGAGTGTCAGATCTTGGAGTTATAGACAGTTATGAGCTACCATGTGGTTGCTGGGAATTGAACACAGGTCCTCTGGAAGAACAGTCAGTGCTCTTAACCACTGAGCCATCTCTCCAACCCCAGGGAAACACTTGTTTGTTTGTTTGTTTTTCTTTTTCTCTGTGTAGTTTTGGTGCCCATCCTAGATCTCATTTTGTAGACCAGGCTGGCCTCAAACTCACTCCCAGGTGCTGGGATTAAAGGAGTGCGCCACCATTGCCCGGGGAAACTCTTCTTAAGCAGCAGCTTCTTATATTTAAAAGCATTGCACTTGCACTTAGCTGTGGTGTCTATTTAAACACTGATCAAGACCAGGTACACCTGATAAGTTATGCATCCTAGCATAGCCATGGACTATTTCAGAATAGTTGTTTAGTTATATGTGTTAGAAGTATTTCTTGATTACTAAAATATCAGTTAAGGAATCACAGTCAGCTAGGGAGCACATGTAGGTGCTTTCTTCTTCTCTTAAAGCAATAATGATTTTTCTGGGTATAGATGATTTTTGAGAACCAGATTAAAATTCTTTCTAAATACCCCTAGCCCCCACCTCCTTTCCTGCCCAGTGACAATAAGTATGTAAAGATGCCCCAACTTCTAGGCTGCATTTCCAAGAGGAAAACCCCACTCTGTCTTTATGTTAAAGCATTTCCTTCATGCTCTAGAATGGTGCTTTGGTTGTCAGCAGCTGCTTCATTTTTTTTCTCTTAATATTTGTGTTTCTTCAGGTTCCATCTGGGCTCCTATACTATACAAAGTATTGTTGCTGGATCAACTCACTTGTTTTCAACGAAGGCACATTTGTCTGAGGTTGGTTTATAAAACACTAGTGGGGAAACTGCATGCCTCTCCCCTGAGGCTGCTCTGTTTAAGTGCAATGGAGTCTCTTCATGCTAATTTCAGTCCCTTCTGCCTTTTTTCATCAATGGTAATGATTCTGCATGGAGATTATTATTAAATGGTTGCATGTATAGCAAGGACCTGAAGTTCTGGTGCCATTCTCAGCTCTGTTTGCTGTCTCATCAATCCAAATAGCTTAAGTAGTAATGAAATTATTTTGAGGAATTCCATTCAAAATTTGAATTTATTTATCAAGCCTAATTTTAGATTGATTCATTTTTCTTCAGAGTCCTTTTTTCTATTTTAAGAAATAATAAGGAAAGAAGAAGTAACAGACACAGCAGTGAAGAAAAGTTTGGTTTTGTTTTTAAAATCACTTCAGTTATTATCACACTTGATTGATGCAAATACTTTGGCTGTCAAAGTATAAGTCTGCTATTTCCAAGGTGTCAGACCTTGGAACCACCATCACAGGGTTAAAACTTATTTCAGAAAGCTGATCAGGGAGCCTCAACCTTTCCTTGTTTAAAATGCTTCTCTGTGGAACTTGCAGGTCCAGGCATTCTTTGAAAATCAGTCAGAGGCAACCTTGCAGCTTCGGTGTGTCCAGGAGGCTTTGGAAGTTATTCAGCTGAATATCCAGTGGATGTCGAGGAATCTGAAAACTCTGACCTTGTGGCTGTAGCACTCACAGCTGATCTTCCGGTGCCCACGGCTCTGCTGCTTTTGCAAAAGTTGAAGTGAAGGCAGGCCTGCTACTGAATTGTTTGCACTGTTAGGAATTCTAGTCAGCTCAGGGCCCAATTGTGTTTTTCATGTCTTTTCTGAAATGTCTTTAGGCAGTAAGTAGTTATTTATTACAAAATTATATTCACCTGTATACTAACCATCTACAAAAACAATGCATAATTTTTCTTTGGACACACAAATGGAGAAAAAAAAGTCATATTTGAAATTCTGTTCTGTTTATTAGTGTCCAGAGAGTTGCTGACATAGTACATCCAAGGAAAGTCTGCTGTAAGAACCACCATATCTGAGGGTTGCTGATTGGCCAGTTGGTTGTTGCTCCTTGTTCATAGATGCATTTGGAGTATGATAGCCTGGAAGAGTCCAGTGCCAAAGGCCTGGAAGATGCAATTATAGACAACTGACCTCAGGTGGGCAGGTCTGCCCTGATTGGGGGTTCTTTAAAAGGTTTATATCTTTATTATAATTTTCCCTGCAGAATAATCAGGTTCTAAAGAGTTTATCTTGTTTCTGTTGAACAAATGAACGAACAGGCCCCAAATTGCAGTTTTCCAAGTATTTAACACTTTCTGCTTCATCTTTATGGCGCTACTGTAGGAAGGTATTCTGAATTGAGTTAATGTTAATTATTTTATCCATGAATTCCAGTACCCCCCAACTCTATACACTTGGTTAGTCCTGCTTAGGTAGATTTTCTGCTGTGGAGGAGTATTTCTTTGCTTTGGCAAGCTTTCTGTTAAGCACTGGTATTTTTGTCATTTACTTTCCCACCAAGAATGTAATTTGTTTAAGTTGCCTTTTGACCTAACAAATCATACCCTTTACTGTGTGAATCGTACCCATGTGTGTGCTTTTACTTTATGTTACAATGTGTATTAGAAGCATTTCTCAAGAAATTAAAGCTTTTTATTTTGAAGTTCACCATAGTACCTTAAAGGGACAATGAGAATGTGGAAAAGGAATAAGTTGAAAATATGGTGGACTATGAATTCTTTTTTCACTGTTAAAAACAGTACTTCTGTTTAGTTGAAAAAAAAAAAAAACTGTAGCTTTGTTTTCCTTTCTTATGGCCAAACTAACATTAAACAGAGCAGCCAAGGCTCAAGCAAAGGAAAAGGGAGGGAGGGTGTCCAGAGCAGAATGCAGGCGTTTTCACTCCTTCTGAAGGAGAAATACTGTACTTGAATTTTTTGAGCTATGCAGACTTATTCCTAGATTGTTGTGTTTCTTTGATTCTTAGGAGAGAAGTTTTCTTCTTAATAACTCATGAGAATTCTATATTTTGTTTGAAAACTGTCCGTGTACATAAAAAAGAATTACTCATTTGTGAACACTGAAAACACTCCACAGAATCAGACCATAGAAAGGCCACTTTTTTTATTTGGCTGTTGTAAAGTTAGAATATGTGGAGCTGTATACAAAGTTATAGTTTATTTTATGAAAATATTTTTATATAACAAAATTTTAATGGCTGACAAGCTGAAAATAGCCTGCTTTAAATCTAGTGTTTGCTCCCAATTTAGTCTTTTCTAAACATTTTTGTGTTTTTGAGTAGAAAATGTTATTCCTGAGAATCACAGAATCATCTTGATATCTTTGTGAAATAGTTAATTGTAGATCTTTATTTCCTTTGTGCTTTTGGTAAATGAATGATAGTTTAGTTGATACTGAAGGTTGTGGGGGGTTGTATTTTTAGAGTGAAGGGAAAATACTCTGGTGGGTTTTAGTTGCCTTTTTTTTTTTTTTACCATGTTGTATTACTAAATTCTACTTTGATACAAAATTTAACTTTTGCTACTTCTCAAGATCAGTTCAATCTTGAGATTTATCTGCCCATCTTGGCATTGATCCTAAAGTCTATGTAACTCTGCATATGGCAAATCTTGTCTTAAATAACACTTTTTTCCATGTATGAGTGTGAATGTATATGGTGTGTGATGTTGTAAATAAAGCCTTATGAGGATATGTGCTTAAAAAAAAGTAATTCTTGATTCACTTCTATCAGAAGCTGTTCATTCCCAGGATACTGGAGCCATAATATTTTCAGTCTTACCTATAATCTTCATCTCAATTGTTTTTAACTTTGATAGGCCTCCTCTTAATTTTCCCACAAAATCCTGTGATTTTTCATGTTTTGTTAGCCCGTTATGTGCAGCCTCTTATAACTAACTCAAAGTCAAGAATATAAGGCTGAGAGGTAGCATGTATAGTCTGATAAGTATATTGGTAGCGTTCAGATTTTCCTCCTCCGAAATTTACATTGCGTTCTGTACTTCTAGGAAGGAAGATTGAGGCACAGGCCAGCTTGTGCTCTAGGTATAAGCACACAGATATCCGACATTGTTGGGTAGTGATTGAATGAGCATTCTGCTCACCACAGAGAAAGGGTGTACTTGAATATAATATGAAAGGTACGCCTTGATTATTAGGAAAAATTGAATTGGAAATCTAGATTTGTGGGGGAAAAATTGATTTGGAGATCTGAAAGTTAGGAATTGGAGGAGATAAGTTTAGTCTACTAATATAGAGTTAGCTATAATAAAAAGTAGTGGCAATTTCTCCTCAGAAACTTGTGCCTTCTGTCTCATTTTGTCTTTAAAAATGAAATTGTGTTTGTCAGTGTTCAGTGTTTACAAACTTTCTTGCTATCACAGGTTCTACTTAACTGGTTTTCTTTGCCACATGTGTTTTCATTTTATGAGACTTTAGCCACCATTAGAACAAAAGCTTCCAGAAGAGTCCTGGGTATAAAAAAAAACAAATCCAGCTGCATCAGGTTTACTGGGTACCAAACAATTCTTTCTGATTATTGGGAAGCAAGAAATTAACATTAAGTCTTGTGTTTGTTGCATGATTGATAGCCTGTTGTTGAATTGGATTTTAAAGGTGCTTACTTAATCTAAAGCACCTGGAATGGTAATCTTCAGCCAGACTGCTGAGCATTTATATAAGACCATGTGTTCGAGGGTTTCAGGGATGGCACAGTACCTCTCAGGTGCACTGTTGCTGAGGACTGCAGTCCCAGGTTGAGTTCACAGATAAGAGTGGGTTGGTTTATATCGACCTCTTAAAAATTGGGATCACAGGTATAATGTAGTTCCCCCACCCTTGCCTTACTTTTATTTATACAGAATGAATCCTCTGTTTTGGAAATGTTCTGTCTTTTTTCATTTATAGTTCTTGAAACTCAGATATACACACACACACACACACACACACACACACACACACACACACACACACACACACATTTGCCTGGTTTTATGTTCTTTTATTTTGTTCTTAAATCTCTGAAATATCAAAGAAGTACAAAGTGAAAAGTGGAGGTCTCAAAAGTATGACAAATCTACTCTTTTCCCCATCCCATACTGCCTGGTTGGGCAATAATTAGCAGAATAAGTGCTTGATTTTTAGAGAGTTTGTGGGAGCTTTTGTGAGGGAGGTGATATATACTTTTGAAACATACACATGTATTTTTATGTTTTTATTTTACAAATTTTGTCCTGGTAAAGAGTGAAATACTGCTCTCTGATAATCTCTCCTCTTCCCATGTTGCCTACAGCTATAGAGTAATTTGGTTTTAATTTTTGAAAGGATGTGGTAGGTTTCAAGAAGGAGCAAGGTAACTTCTTTTAAAAGTGTGTAGAAATAATTTTGCTGCTATTTGGGACTTAATGCTGCCCTCCTGACATTCTTGTGGACATGTACATAACCATGCAAGTCCACATGGATGCATTGGCAATAACAGAATAGTAATAGTGCCTACTGTTTTGTTCTAGTCTTAGGAACTTAGGTTGCCTCTCATCCTTTCAAGCACATTTATAAATGCAATTCTACTTTTTAGACTTGTTTCTTTGCATAGATAACTTAATTACCATTATGACTGAGTATGACAGAGTGTTCCCTTTTCCTTGTTCCCTTTAAGGCAATAATTAATTGTTCTGTTAGGGAGAGTTTGGAAGAGAGTAGAGTAGTGCTTGCTATGATTTTTTATTACTAATTTTGTTTGGTCCTATGCCCTTGAAATGCATGTGAAAATACCTGATGAAATGTGGAAGACCAAATTAAACAGTCACATTTTATCACCTCTTATTGCTTGTTGGCAGTAGCCAATAGAATGGCTGTATGAGTGGAGTGTGGGGGTGCAGGGATGTGTACCTAATGCCTGTATGTATGTTCTTACTACTGTATTGTATTAATTCACTGGATGCTCAGAGTGGAAGGTACCAGTGGAGTTCAGATGTATAACAGTGCCTCTTTTCCTTTCTTTTATTGTCTGAGGTGCAATACTTGTTAAAGTAGTTTTTTTTGAAAGTTGGATTTGGGTTTGGGGTGGTGGTTGTTTGGTTGGTTGGTTTTTGCTAGTCTGGAAAAGTAGTTTTGGGGTAAAAGTATATACTTTTTAAGTGTATAAACATGCTTTGCTGCATTTTACTTCCTTGCTTTCCCTGTCCTTTCCGTGGATTTACGAGGGAAGTTGGGGATCTCTCTAAGAGGTTTCTTCCTTATCGTACATTGGACATGCAGTGAGTGTCAAGTAGCACAGGCAGCTTTGGAGGTGGGGCCGACATATGCCTTCACTGTGCTTTTGCTATGTGCTTTTGTTCCTTGGTCACTTTGTTCCATTGGGTACCTGTCTTGAACTTGGACTTACCAGTTTCTGACAAACCATGGAGCTTTGAATTTAGTGTCCTAGTGTTCTTATCCATCGATGTGGGAAGGATTTTCTTTTCATTTTTTATCTTAGCTTTAGGGGGGACTAAGGGCAGGAGATATAGTCTTACAAATGTATATAATTTTGTTACTATACTGTGTTATTTCATTTGGTACTAAGTCCTTTACATGGGCGTATAAGTGCCTAATGAGACGTGGAGGTCCGGATGTATGAAAACTTCCTCTTTTCCCTTTCCTCATTGCCTCTGTGGGCAATTGTAGAGTAGCATAGATTTTCTAACTCTGTTCCACCCTCAAGGGTGGGTATGTATATACTTTAAAATGTAAATATAAATTTTTTAATCTTTTTGTTGTTTCTTCATTTGTACCTAAACCTGTCTGTGGACACTTAGGTACATAAGGAATATTGAGGTTCATTCTATGAAAAATCTCCCCATCCCCTTCCCTCATTGCCTGTCTGGGCAATCGCTTATAGAGTAGTTGTGTAGCTTTGGCATGGGAGTATGGGGTGAAAGAGTTCTGGGTTTTTACTTTTTTAAATGTATTTGAAAGTTTGTCAGTTATTTCATTATTTCACTCCCAATCTGCTTTTGTGTTTGAGCTTACTGTCAAAGGAAGTGAGAATCTATACCCAGAGGCATGGAACATCTTTGCTTCACTCATCACCTGTGCCATACTGTAGGAGTATATGAGTACTGTGGGGCTTGGGTTCTTGTTTTGTCTGTTCATTGCTTATAACACAGCTTGTTAGAGAAAAAGGTAACCATGTATGTATGTGTATGTGTGTGCATATATGTATACACACACACACACACACACACACACATACACACACACACACACATTACGTTGTAATGCCTTGTGATGTTAACTTCATTTTGAACCTGGTCCTTGGCGTGACTGTTTTTTTAAATATGTATTTAATGAACATTGAGATTGATTCTATGAAAACTCTCCACACTCCCTTATCCCTCATTGCCTGGTGGGCAGTGGTAGACTAGATGTTTTGTTTACTTATTTTTTGTTGCTTTGTGGGGGGGTCTGGGTGTACATATATTTTTGATATATATAAATAATTGCTACATTCTATATATTATTCCACATAGCACCAGTTCTTTGCTGGGATTTGTAGATATATAATGAAACATGGAGGTCTAGACGTATGATAACTCTCCCCTGCTCCCTTTCCTCATTGCCTATAGAGGCAATAATTTTATAACGGGTTTTTTTTTTTTTTTTTAGTGGAGGGGAGGGGGGACTGCTTAGATAGGTAGTGGTTAGATAGAGTGCATGCTTTTAAAATATATTTTTTCATGGTACTGATTAGGCTCCTAGTCCTTTGCATGGATAAATGGGTACCTAATCAAAATTGAGGATTGGTGTATGACATACCTCCTATTCTCCCCTTCTCCTTATGCTTGTATTGGCAACAGTGAGTAGAGCAGTTGTGTGTTTTTTACTTAATTGTTTTGGATTTATATTTTTGATAGAAGACTATCCTTAGTATAAATAGTTTTGGTTTTTTTTATTTCATTTTGTGTTTAGTTCTTTGCCTAACTATAAAGGGCATAATGAAAATTAGTTTCATAATATGATAGAGTGCATCCTTTCTTGCATATGTCATCACTCAGCAGTAACTAGTGCAGTTGTTTTGGTTTTTTTTTTTTTTTATTCTAGTTATTTTCTAGGATATATCTTTAAGGATACAAATATATACACATACATATTCAATTTTTCCCTTGCTGTCATTGTTTTGCTTTAACATTTATTCCTTTGAAGATTTCTACATGCACCTAGGACAAAAACAAAAGCTCATTACATCTTGGGCACCTGACTGGAAGTGCAGCCCTGTGACTCCATGTCGAACAGTGGCAATGAGCATGCAGCAAATAAGATGGGCAAAGACACTCAGATATGGCTGCGTTGTGGAAACTAATCAGACCCAGCAATTCTAATGTGTCAAACTGAGATGGTGGAAGAACTTCAGGGGCTAGCTTTTTCTATCTTAGAACATCCACAGATGGGAGGGCAAATTGGCCCCTTCTTACCCAGAACTCTTTTGTGTGGCTGCATCTCTTCCCCAGTTCTCTATTAACTGAACCATTCCTGTTCTGTTTTTCCTTTTGCCTCCAGCGCCTTCGTTGTTATTAGGTGCTGTCTTAGGTTGTACTCACAAATTTAAGCTAATGCTGCATCCTAGTCGACTTTGTGATTCTGTGTGCATCTCATGCACCCAAGCCTGTGTGTCTGCTCTCAGCATTCTTATATTCCACCACATGGTAAATGTTATGACTACACATTTGTCTGCATCAAAGAAAATGCACATGCATACCTTCCCTGTCCTTGCTGCATCTTAGCTTTGTTTTGTTTGTACATTTTTTTAATTGATATTCCATGAGGAAGATTTGCCATATCCTTTTAAGAAACACTGAGTGATAGATAGGACTCCTAGAAAAAATTCTCAAAGAAGTGTTATTTACCATATCAAACTCAGGAATGTGTTGGAAAATTAGTCTAGTAACATTGCTGTTACTTATACCTGCTGCTGTAGGAAAAGTTATTCATGACACATTTACCTTTGATCATAAATAAAAGAGAAAGGGCCACCTTTTTGGAGTTAGTCATGGTAGTCATTAGTTATATTTTTGAACCGTTTTTAATTTGAAATACTTCAAAGGAAGTAAAGGTCATGGCTTAGCTCAAAGAAATGCTCCAGAAGTTCGGCTGTATAAATCATCAGTACAATAATACACTCTGTGTGTGTGTGTGTGTGTGTGTGTGTGTGTGTGTGTGTGTGTGTGAAATGAGAATTGCTACATAATTGGAGCATTTGCCTTCATCAGCAAATCACATTGAGACAAACTATAGTCGGCTGTCTTGATTAAAGCCAAGTGTTCCTTGTGGCTGTGAGGAAGAGTCTCTTGCAAATACTTTGGAAAGTAACTACTTGGAAACTTACAAAGGTATTACTTTTTTTTTTTTTTTTAATTTAAACACCAGTAGAAACCTTCAGTTCCTTCAGTCTGAGTTCGTGGGTAAAATTCTAAATTTGTATTCTAATCTGTCTTTTGTGGAAATTTTTGAAAATAGTATGTATGTGTAATATTGTATGTGCAAATTGTATTGTTTTACTTGTAAAGGGAAAATGCTTATTTTTCTTTGTACTTGTTTTGCATATGACCAGCACTGATTGAAAGGCATGTTTAACTGCAAACACTTGCTTTCTTTGTGAAATGAAAATAAAGTATTTAAATACAAACACTGTGGATTCATCTAATTAGACAGAATATATGTTGTATTTCATCCCAGATTCTGAGTTCCATCAGAGCTGTTGCCATATACATTAATTTATCTAATTTGCTTCCTACCTTACCCCAGGTCCTTAACACAAAAACCACACTGTCACATTTTGGGCTGGATAATTATTTGCTGTGAGAGACTGTTGTGCACAGCATTGAGTTTTCAACATCCACCCTGACTACTGATGTCAGTAGTATCTACAGATAATCAGCTGCCCATAGCAACCCTCATGCCTCTGGCCCTTGTGAGAACCAAAAATATTTACTTCATATATAGACAAATGTTCCCTGCACTTGCAGTTAAAACTGTATGTGGATGCTTGGGACAATGGGCTCAGCAATGGTTAGGGGAGCTGGTTTAGCACAGTTATTTACTTTTCCACAGCAGCAATCCTTATGAACACTCAGATTCTATAAGTAGCAATGGGCTCCATAATAATACACTACCTAGGTTAGTATAAATCCATTGAAAGCTAGCAGTTCCACCTGCTTTGATCATGCAAGTCAGAATACAGGTACCAGCCCTTCAGGAAGGACACTGCTACAGTTAGGTACCTAGTTAGGTCCACAAAAGTAGTCTGTTCCCTCTTCATGAATAGTCTTTGTAGCTGGAGTTTTCCTGGTTCTGTTCAGCTCCTGCAGCCCTGCAACCGGCTGCTTGGACCCAAGTAAACACACAGAGACTTATATTACTTATAAACTGTATGGCTGTGGCAGGCTTCCTGCTATCTGTTCTTATATCTTAACCCATTTCTATTAATCTATAAGTTGCCACGTGGCTTGCGGCTTACCGGTACTTTTACATCTCGATTCCTCTGTGTCTGGCTCATGACTCCTGACTCAACCTTCCTATTCCCAGAATTCTCTTCTCTGCTTGTCCTGCCTATACTTCCTGCCTGGCTACTGGCCAGTCAGCATGAGTCTTTTAATTCTGACCCAGAGCCCTGTTCTGGGAATTTAAAAAGCTTTTATGCTGTGCCCTTTTAAAAAGAAAATTATGATCATTGCCAGTATTTACAGAATGCTCAGAAATTGCAAGGCTTTTTATATTTAAAAACTGGCTACATGTTTTATGTTCATAGATATGAACAATAATTGGACTAAAATTCAGAAGTGTAAAGAACACTTAATTCCACTAGATTTTGGGTGTGTGGTAATGAGATTGATAAACCTCTCCCTATTTTTTAAAATCACAGCCCAGAAGAATTTAATTTAATGTTGGCCTGCTGTTCTTTGATTCTTTCATAAAGTCTCCCCTTTTCCAGCACACACAAAGCCTCCAGTATTTACTTATATTGTGTGTGGATTGAACAAGTTGACATACACTATAGAGTGGTGTTTTATTATCAGAGGAAAAACATCCCTTTAAATTACTAATTTCATTCACCCCACCCAATTTGGTAATTGGTGGTAAGTTTCCAGTGCCTGTGCTTGTGTGCTTTTATTTTCCTTTGTGTATGACATTCAGTTAACTGGTCAAAGTCTAGATGAGGTTAAATGCAATTTTGAGACCACATTATTTTTGGTTTGGGCTGAGCTGAATTATATTCAAGACCTTTACTTACAGTAATTTTCAATCTTTCCCACTCATTTTTATAAAAGTACATAATGCAAGTAAAATTAAACTGTTGACAAGCACCAGGTGGCTGTAGTTTGAAAGGGAAATCTGGGTATTTATAAAAGGCCAGAGAAGGGCAGGACAGACCTAGGGTGCCAGTATATTGCTTACTAAGGCAACAAGTTCTTGGTATACAAGCTGAATCTTGGCAATGGGAAGCCTTTTTTGTCTCTAATGTTTCTTCTCCATGCATGTTGCTGCCATGTGCAGCTTTGCACAATAACTGCCCTGTCTTGATATTCTGTCTATCTCAAGGGTGTCTAATTTTTTTTATTTCAGCAGAAATTATAGAGATATTGCTGTTACCACATGGTTAAAAAATCTTCATGATTTGAAGAAATTATAATATTGAAAAACTTAGGACAGAAGGACACTAGTCAGAACCAGGACTTCTTTCACACCTGTTATTCCCTATTTAAAGAAAAAGATAATTTTAGTTCCGCTAGCTAGGATACTTCTCACCTACTTACCTTGCAGGAGTGTTAACATGAGATAAAAACATCTAGAACTGTAACATTCTATGAAAACATTCTACCCATCCCAGAAAGCATAAATTCAACTCTGATGATTAAAAGTACCAGCTGCTTCCTGAGATGTCTGTGTGTTAACATCCTGGAACAAATAGAAATAATTCCTGTAAATTGAATAAGGTTATAAAACATACTGGTTAGGAAATTATAGGAATAAAGTCTAATATACTTTTATTTTTGCCTATTTAGGCCTTGAATTTGCTTATATTTTATTTGAGAGAGTATTATATGTTAGAAAACAGGCCAGTGAGATGACTCAGTCAGTAAAGGCATTTACTGTCAGGCCTGGCAACCTGAATTTGATCCACATCATGGAATAAGAGAACTGATTCCCACAAATTGTCCTCTGACTTCTATATGAGCATGGTATGTGCATCCTGTTCTCACACATACACATAAATAAGAAAAGATAAAATGTATGCAGTTATTTTGGTTTCACAACTGAAATAAAACCCTGACTGTAGGTGATTTTTGGTATAAGAAAATTGCAAACTAAACTCTTGATTGATTTATAATGGAGATAATATTTACTTGACCATCAAAGCATGAGGCACAAATTTGTGGGAAGATGATCCTAGTTCTTTAAAGGTATTCAAGAAATGTACTACTCAACTTATTTGCTTTTAATAGGTGAAAGAATCAGATTCTAGCTAGAAAACATTGTTTGCAAATTACGTCATACACCGAGAAATTGGCCAAATGTCTTAGGATCTCTGATTGCTTGTACTGGAAGGAACCTTCTAAATGATCTAGTCTCCCCACACCATTCTATAGACTAAGGGTACCAGAGATATACCTTAGCTAAAATCTCACATAACATGCTTAATTTATATGTATCTAATGTAGATGTAGATGATGTACAGTTGCATCTTGGAAGAGAATTACTTCAATAAAAAGTTATCCTATTATGAATTCACTGTCAAAAGAAGTTATACATTACTGTAAAGTTGAGCTTGAAGCTGAATTAAATGATTTAAACTTACTGATAATTTAAATGATCCAGATATGACCTTGCCAGGGTGGCCCTTTTTCGTATGTGGTTGGATGCAGTGCACTGCACTGAAGTAGCACTGTCTCTGTGGAAGGCAATAATGCCAGGAGCTTCCAAATCATATTTAGGGAGGAGAGAAATCATCATTGGTCAAGTGGCAAGTGCTGTAATGTATGACAAACCAAGCATAAAGGAATAAATACTAGCTTTACTAACTAGGTTTTTTAAAACTCCATTTTCCTAAAGTAGTTTGAATTTAGCTTGAAGTAAACCATTTACCCCCAGCTTCAAACCCTTGTGCCTTTTATTGCCAGGAACATAGGACCTTCACAAAGCTTTGTTCTAAGAAAGGTGTTTTTAAGTCAGTTTTCTTGTTTTGTTTTGTTTGTTGTTGCTTGTTTCTGAGAAGGCATAATCCAAGTGTCAGATGTCCCTCTTCTGCTTGGTGTGCATGCTTGTAGTCTCTTTTTCTGCTGTTAGCAAACTTGGATTCAGAATTTAACACTTAGTTCAAGATTCTTTTCTGCAAAATGCGATAAAGCCAACATGTTGCTGAACAATATAGGATTTCCCAGACATCCAAGTGAGAAAATCCAAAAGAAAATTTACCTTCCAGAGCCTCTTGATATTTATCTTCTCCAGAGCTTCTTGCTTACCTAGGCATTTCTCAGTGATCTTCTTACATAGACATGAAATGCACATGTGTACACACACACACACACACATACACATACACACACACACACATTCTCACAGACATTGATGCTTGTGCACAAATGAGCACACAGAGACAGACAGACACAGACACAGACCCACTTGCTGATTCCTTACTTCTGAACACCTTGAACTTGAAGGGTCTCTCTCCTTTAGAGCACTGTGGCTCAGTGTCAGAATCCAGATGCATAGGGCCAATATGTCAGGAGTTCAACAAAATTGGCCCCACAATTTAAAAGGCTAGTTTTTTGGCCTTTTGTATTGTGGTCATGCCTTGGAGTCACTTCTTATAAGCCACTAAGTATTTATTATGAGGAAAACTATTGTTATAAAAGGAAACTTCAAATCTTTATATTGGCAAGGATTTTTCTTACGGTTTTCTAGGATAACATGAAAATTGACTTATAATCCCTGAGCACACCCAGACTTTGGGTAAGAGAAACCAATCTCAGACTGAAGAGACATGCAGGATGTACTTGTAAATGTTTTTCATAGTTAATTTATTCAGTAACTGTTGGGATCTATTTGCTGTGCATAGGCTGGGTGCTAGGTGGATGCATGAGGCTTAGCTACAATATGAGCTGCAAGTGCCTCTTGGGTTTTATAAATGCAGACTGGTAGTATAGTGGGTAGATAATCAAGGGTATTTGAGTTCATGAGAAGCAGATACAAGGAGTATCACAATGGGAGGTTGTAAACTATGAGGCTGATGTTTCTGCACTCTACTTCAATAAATGCCAGAGTGTAGGGGGCACAGAATTATTCCCCAGCCAGTATTCCTCTCTACTCATTTGGGTGTACAGTGGGATGTCAGAGGCTGAGTTCTCCACACAGAGGCTACATACATTTCCTATTTAACATCTGTGTCATTGACTGGGACCTAGATGCACCTTGTTTCCCATTGAGTAAACCACACAGTTGAGTATTGGTTCCTAACGATGTTCCAAGTGAGTGACAAGAGGCAAGGAGTTGACTGCATGTTGCACTTTCACCCCAGGGTCCCTTTAATTTCAGTTAGTGAGCTTGGCTCACTTCAGCCTGAGTTATGAGTATGTCTTTCTCCTCTGCTTTCCTCTGTGTCATGAAGCAAGAATGAGGACAGCATTT